GATAAGCAAAAATTAAAAATATTTTTTGAAATCGGAAAGCATCTTCTCTCTTACTTGATATATTAAATCAGGTAAGATGAATGGTATTAACTTGTACACTGCTCAAAATAATAGTGTTTTGTTTGTGTTTTGTGATCATTCATGAATGAAACAAAATAATCGACGTCTCACTGACTAAAACTGACTCCGACCTCGAGTAATCTGCGTTTTACTGATCAGACCCCAAAATCACAGTTTTATAATATTCAACAATTTATGATTAAAATAAATATTAAAGCCTATTTTTACTGAAAGGTTGAAGTCTACAGTGTAATTCTGGTTTTATTTGATCTTTTACAGTTAAGGGGTGGCGTTAAGGTTCTATACTGTTTTAGTTTAGTTTAGTTTAACATGTATTTCATTTTGCTCTTTTCTGCAGGGTGATGGAGCACAGGATATTGAGAACACTAAAATATTTCTCGCTTAAAGCCAGTCCTTCGCTTCGCTGCGTAATATATTTGTTAGTGCATCTTTAACTACCAGAACTAGAACTTCACTAAAGTAAAGCTGCCCCACGGCTTGTTTTGAAAAACAATCTCATCGTCAATCTCATTTTAGATTACTGGTCCCCCTACGGAGTCTCAAATATAGTGTAGATATAAACGATTGGATAAATTCAATGGAAACAGCGGCGGATCCAGGAATTTTTGATTGGAGGGTCCAAAATTTGGTTCAGAAACGACTGTGGAGCTTTTTTTGGGCAAATTACTTCTCCCCCACACCCCCCGGCCAAACCCCCTCTCACCAGCCGCGGTTGTACGTTATAATTCCCTGGCCCCTTACCGTGTACTTGAATTCTACTCGTAAAGGATGCACCCTTGGAACATCCTCCTCTTATGCTTGGTAATAAAGCTTGTACAGATTTCGTCATTACCGGGAAATGCTACTTTGCGAGCACAGGCGAACAGATCATAGCTGGGTACCCAAAAACAATTAAATTTTTGAATATCCCTAGGATTTAGTTTAGTGACAAAAATGCAACGCGCGTTTCATTAAAAAAGTCAGCCAGTTAAAAAGTGATGTACGATCCTGTTGATGCAAGAATTTCGCAGTCTCAGACAAGCGTCAGGTCTGATGGGGGGAGGATCCGGACTCCCCGGACCCTCCCCGTGGATCCGCCACTGGGAGACGTTTGCAACTGAGCAAGGAATCTCACAGCAAAAAGGAACAATAACAAAAACCTGAGGACTCTTTATGGATATGTGGTAGAGGCCCGTTCACTCGAACTGCCAGAAAAAATACAGTTCGGCTTACTGAGTTTAATCAAGTTACGGAAAATGATTCAAAGCTAAAAAAAAGAAATTCTCGAGATAAGGCGTTCTATTCTGTGGGATCCTTTTCTCGCAGAACTTCAAAGTCCTACAAATTTCAAGTGAGGCGTCCTTAAAACAGTTTTAAGCCACCATTCAATTTACAAACGTACAAGTTTCCACCATAGAGCGTGACCTAAACAGTGATGCTCTTCTAGTAAACTGAAATCATGCCTTTCAAAATATTTCGTAATCGCCTTTATTTATAAATGATGGAATCGAACCAAAGCCTTTAAAAACGTTCCCCCTTGAAATGGTACCTTTTTGTTATCCGCAAATCTAAAATACTTGCTTTCTTCTGTCAAGAAATCCACACGAGTCGAAAGCAGAAAAGATTGAAGTGAAATATAGTTTGTCAGCCGATGAGAAAAGATTGATTGTTGCTCTTGTGGCCTCGGGATTCAGAGAAGTACCCGGAGATGGACCAAGCTCTGTTTATCCGTATTCTAAGTTCTTCTTACCATGTCCAGTTGGTACATTCTCCAATATAACTTCTCAAGGAGCTGAAGGATGCATACCATGCCCTCCAGGTAACTTGAATTTTACACAAATTTGATATAAATCGTAGCGTACTCATTGTAATCGCGTTTCTCGTTCTTTCTTTGCTTTCTATTATTCTACAGTACTGTGCAAGAAAAATTCAGTGAAATTAGCCAATTTCGGAGAACAATATAGTGAACTTTCGTTTCAGACGGAAAAGTGGCGAAATTTCGGTGCATCTATTGTTCTGTTGCGATAACCCAGTTTATGGTTATTGGCTCTCGCCAGAAGCTTCTTGCGGAAAGCCATAACGAAATAAACATTAAACTAGAAGACCAAGTTATCAGCAATGTTGATCACGCAAAATCATTAGGTCTCATTATCGACAATCGGCTTTCCTGGTCTAATCATGTTAACGAATTGTGTAAGAAGGTAACTTCGGCTATAGGTGCCCTTAGACGTATCAGGCCCCTTATCTCCCAATCTACTGCGGTACTAGTCTATAACTCCTTAATTCAACCTCACTTTGATTACTGTAGCCTCGTTTGGGATGGCTTAAGTGACCAAATGAGTGACAAATTACAAAAGTTACAGAACCTTGCAGCTAGAGTAATTTTAAAGGCCAACTATGGGACTAGCTCGAGCCTGCTTCTTGATATACTCAAATGGGACAAATTAGTTATAAGGAGAAAGAAGCATAAAGCAATAATGATGTTTAAATCTCTAAATGAACAAGCTCCAGTGTACTTGCAGAACCTATTTCACGAACGAAGCACAGACTATGATTTGCGCAATTCCTTTCACAAATTGACGTTGCCCAGGCCGCGTACTAGCTACTTGAAACGAAGTTTCAGTTACAGCGGTGCTTTGTTGTGGAACTCTTTACCCGAAAATGTGAGAGAAATTAAATCAGTCAGAAAATTTAAAGAGCAAATCAAGCATTTATTTGAGTCGTCGGACTCTCACTCGGCAGTCTTGTAAAACAGTATGTCGATAGTTTTTTTAGTCTAATTAATTGTAATCAGATTTTTACTCTATTATTACTGAAGATTTTACCGAGTTTTATATAAGGAATCTACCTACCTACCTACCTGTTGCTCTACATTTTGCAAGCTAGTTGATGATTTGGAGCGAATTTTCGCGGCATTAGATGAAATTAAGGTGCGAAATTTTTTGCCGGTGAGCGAAAATTGGAGTAATAATAAGAAATTGCGTTTTGTTGAAGCGATATTTCTTTTACCCTTAGCCACATTTCATCTGCACAAAACGAGATTTTGTCATTTAAAAAAATTCTTAGCTTATTAGAAAAATAACTATCACTTCAATGTAAAAGTAAGCGCGAATATTATTGATTTAATTGTGAAAAAAAGAAAGAAAGAAAGAAATGCATACGATTTATTAAGACGTTTTGAAACTTTATTAAAAACCAGTAAATGCAAAACGTATTTTGATCAGCACTGCTATAGCTTTAGTCTGCTACACAGCCGTTTTTAGTGTCGTCAAGGGAGGGGCGTTGCGTGACGACACTAAAAACGGCTGTGTAGCAGACTACTATAGCTTCGGCTTGTTTCGAAGTGGTTTTCTATTCCGGTTATAGCCCTCCTCGTATATAAGCCCCTCCCTTTACAAGCCCTCCTAAGAACCCTCACGAAGATGTACACAGCCCAGGGGCCCGTTTCTCGAAAGTCCCGACAATTAACGGGCCCGGTAAGCTCTCTCCGTTTACATTAAAGATCGAGGTTTCAATAGTTTTGCATCCAACACGATAAAACTGTCATTTAATGAAACAAAACGGAGTAGTTTGCTAGCCAGGACCCGCGCTCTTATTCTTTATATTTCGATTTGAATATTTGATTTCGGGCCCTTAAAGTTACCGGGACTTTCGAGAAACGGGCCCCAGGGCTTATTCGCGGCAGATAACGGTATGGAAACTAGTCCAACAGGACCCAACATGAACTGAACCTTATCCCATTGACCGTCGTATCAGCCGGACGTCTTTCCATACTTTGTGGGCTAAGCGAGTTTAAGCATCTAAGTTTACAATTTTATTTGGGTCCTTTTCCTTTTAGGAGGATTTTTCTCCGATGACGTTGGGTATGTTAGCAAGAGCTGCAAGAAATGTCCAAACGGTTCATTTGTTGCTTTAGATAAAGCACCTGGAAAACAAACTCAGGATTGTAAAACCTGTCCTCTTGGTAAATGACGACTCATTTAATTGAGTATATGACATGGCCCTTGGAGTGTTAAAGCAAACTCGCTCAATATCTACAGGGAACCATGTGTTCTGATTCTGATTCTGATTGTTATTATTATTACTATTATTATTATTATTTAATATATAAAAACCAGAGGAGAAGTGGACCCTCTAAAAGATTAAGCCGGTTCACAAATGTGTGGATGATAAAAAAATATTTATACTAAAAAATCTCGATGGAAAGTGAAAAAATGAGCGAAAAGACTCAAAAAGCGTAATACAACGGAAGGTTTCTTTTAAAACACACTCTTTTATTTAAGAAAATCATGAACAATGCATAAACTTTCCGTGTTTTTTCCATTTCCGAGACCAGAAATGCCATCACCAAAGTTACATCAATGTCGGTCTTTTCTACGAGTATTTTTTTCTGGTCCCAAAAACTTCTCTTCATCGTTATCAATGAATAATAGAATCTTATCGTAGCACACCTATTCATCGCTGTTAGGGGTATTGTCTGAAGCCATATCGAAATATATTTTGAAAAGGCCGCTGTCGTGCGCATCTTATCCAACTCACTGAGGATTGACAACGCGTGGCCGTTCATTTATCGCTTCAATGGAGCGACGAAAACCAAAATGGGTGACGTTTCAGCAGCTGATTGGCGATCTTAAAAGACCCGTAAAATCATCAGTGTTGAGAAGCTATTCTTCTCAGAGCTCAAATTCCCCATAAATAAATCAGCTATTGTTTATATAATAAGTATAATTCTATATCGATTCGTTAAAGGGTGCAGAGGTTAAGAATGAAGGAAAAAACATCTTACAGAAACTCACGCCAGAAGAGTTGGTCGATATGCTTTTCAAGTGGCCTGAACTATTAAGTACAACCTCTAAGTATGGTTTTGACATTAACAAGGAAACTGATTTAAATGTACAGTATCAGATTTTTTACCTTAATATCTCAAGACTGAATTTAAAATGCTTAAAGCTGCCTTTGAATATCCTCCTCCACTATCATCCTTAGGAACGAACAGTGACGCACATGCTGGATTTCGTGCTTGTGAATGCTTGGAGGGACATTATCGGACTCATATGTTTGAACAGTGTCGAAAATGTAAAGATGGACTGAAATGCCAAGATGGCTATGCTACTTTGCAATCTGGCTATTGGTGGAAATGGAAGAACAACGTCCGCAAACATCGCTATCGACTTTTTATAGCCAATCTCTTATCACCTTCGCCATCATTTGATGAAGAGGACGTGCAATATCCGTATCCCCTACCAACTCCATATAAGTGCCCAGGGAAAAGTTCTTGCAAAGGTGGCATGGATTCTTTTTGTAAGGATGGCCACGAAGGCCCCCTCTGTGATGTGTGCACAAAAGGATACTTTAAGCAATTTCATCAGTGCAGGAAATGCCCAACAAAGACGTGGATTCTCGCCCAGATGTCTATAGTTGTTCTCGTTATTTTGACAATAATTTCTGTTTGCATTTGGACAAAAAAAATAAAGGATAAAGAAGGGGTTGGAAACACTGTGGCAGACTCTTTTCTGTCCAAAATAAAGATCGCAATTGGATTTTATCAGGTCACTTATGGCTTGCTTGAAGCGTTCTCATACATTGAATGGCCCGAGTCCGTACAGGCAATCGGCAAGTATTCTGAAACACTCCAGCTAAACATACTTGAGATGACTCCAATTAACTGCATCTTTAAGGACCTAAACGTGGATGCCTTTGCAAACTTGCTCTCCATGATGGCAATTAATTTTGCCATTGTCATCTGTGCGGGCCTAAGCTACCTTGTAAGGAAAGCTGTTATCTCTAGTAAAGCAGGAATGGACGACGACGAAAAGTCACATAAAATATCACAAGCTAAAGAAACCGTGTACAAAAATTTGTTCTTTTTCCTGTACATCACCTACCTTAGCACGTGTTCCAAGACAGCAGCTGTTTTGCCCCTTGCATGCCGGGAACTTTGTCAGCACGAAGATGAGGACTCGTGCACGAAGTACTTAAAAGCAGATTACAGCATACAATGTCATGGGCCTCTGTTCAATAAACTGCTTATCGCAGCATATTTTTCATTGGCGTACGTTGTTGCTCTTGCTACTGCCACGTTCATAATCCTTTGGAGAAAACGAAGAGTAATAAAAACCAAAGAGGATGTCGTCAGAGGATCTAAAGATAGAGCCTCTGGCATTGAAATAATCAAGGGGTTGCAATTTCTTTACGAAAACTATACAGCTCGTTCGTGGTACTGGGAACTAATAGAGACTTCTCGTAAAGTAATCATCACATCCGGTTTGATACTCGTGGGGCAGGAAAGCAGATCATACATTGGCTTAGCATGGGCCATTGCTGGCATATATGGAGTGTTTTTTGCCTGGAATCGTCCGATACAAGACGCCTTTGAAAATCAATTGATGGCCGCATCCATTGGCGTTACAGTTTTCAACCTGGGTGTTGGGGCGGTCAGTAAAATTCCTTCAGAGAACGTACCTTCAGTGACCGACGTTTACATGGATACTTTTATATTCAACATATTAGTTCTTGGAGCAAACACATTGGTCATCGGATTAATTGCCTGTAAGATTATTATTATTATCTTCTTTAACTTTATGCCACAATGCAACATCTGGTGATAACCAAGCTATTTGATGGTGAGTGACTTTTCTTAGAGTGGGACGTGTTCCAAAACGTCTGATTAACAAATAGATTCCAAATAGAGTGTGTCACAGATGTTTTTATACTTGTTTTACTGTTATGTAATCTTCTATAGTTCATGTATTTCGATGTTAGCCCGGATATGTTGAATATATTTTTCCAACCCGTATTTGAAAGGGTAAGTTAATATGTCATATTTGTCTGAAAAAAGGCCTAAAAAGGCTCACAGACGCATTTAATGGCCATGAAAAACTCAAGAAAACGCTCTGGTTTTGTTATTTATTTCAAAAAGTAAAGTGCTTCAATGTTATAAAACAAATAGTAATAAAAACACTGAATTTGCAGCGGTTAAAAAGGGAGCAAAGTGAGAAACTTTTTAGGTCTTTTTTGACGGAAAGGAGTACCATTTGTCAATAGAAGTAAACGAAATGGGTATAAATGGTATATGAAAGGATAAGGGGTTGAACCTCGGGCCGGAGTCTTTTTGTATAACACTTTGTTGATCATTTCTCCGCGCACAGACATGGCTCACTTGTTCTAAAAAAATGTCTTACCACCTCCGATATTGCGGGCACTGTAGTCTGTTTGAACATAATAGTGTGAACTGTCGAGAGTAATTTGGAAAACCCTAGGCTGTACTCTGTACACTACTAAATATTATGTCGATAAACCGTTGGCCCCCTCATTCAAACCTCGCACATATACCAAAATCTATGGGACTTGTTGTGCAGGCAAGTCAATAACTCAATCACATGTTCTAATGGGATTTCTGACGGTTAAGTGTACCGATTCTTTTCAGCTCAATACATGCTGCACCTGTATGCCTATCTCAAGGAATGGCATAAAAATCCACAGTGGTCTTTCTCTTGTTGTCTAGCGCTGATCCTTCCCTTTCTCAGTCTGCCAGAGGATATCAGTGGCATAGAAAGAGCAAATATAATGAGTAAACAATTAGAAACAGGAGACATCGAAATGCCCACTATTACGGATGCCGTGCAAGACAGTGGAGCTGTTAATATCTCGCTTGAGGAAGGTGGAGAATCTGACTGTGAACATCAGAAAAACCCCCAAAACAGCACCATTGCGCTAATTAATAGGGCTTTAGAAAACAGTGTTGAAGAAAAGAAACAAGAGGATGGCAACACGAAAGTGAAAAATATTATCCGCACTACCACTCAGCTAAAGAGCAATGAAAGGAAAATAGAGGCCTTTGCAATCCTTTCACAGCAAAAGTCAAGTACGAATCATCAAGGGACCCAAACGAGTTTTACTGCTCTTTGTTAGATCAATCGCTCGTGAGACAGAACAAGAGACTCAGTTCTAGAATAAGAAGAGCAGAAGAAATAGTGCAATTGTGAGATTAGATGTATATAAGAGAGGCATAAATCCACGATACATCTATTTGGTCGCAATTTATGTTCTCGTTCATTTGATTGTATTTCTTTTTTACTTATTCTTCCATCCTCCGTTCTTGTTTTTTTTTTTTGTTACTCATTGAACCAATTCGTCCAAGTACGCAATTTCATTTTTGTTGTTTTGCTCGATCGTTTATTCTTTTTATACCAAGTATTATTTAAATAATTGAATTTAGGTGTCTTGATAGTGGAGCTCTCTCTTGCGCGAAGCGCACACAGCGGAGCACCATGGATAAGAAAATTTGGTTACTATGTATCAGTACGCCCGTCTGTCCTCCCCTCAGGCATACCAATGTAAAATAATCAATCAACAGATATAGTAGCCCAAATACAACTCGAATTTCTTTGGCGGAAATCGCATGGCCAACCGCGTCTCGTGTAGCAAAGACAATTAAAGGGTCAATAAAGACAAAATGGAAAGCAGAAATTGTTTCTCTATCCGTGTTCTCTAAAGCTAATGTCCACAAATTGAGAATGCAGAGAAAGAAAAAGACAGAGAAAACGAGAAAGTAGAAGACAGGCTAGCGGAGCTAAAAGAGAAAAAGAGAGACAGTGAGTTACAACGAGAGATAAACAAAGGAGACAAATTTCTTTGGAAAAACAACATGAAAAGTTTATAGGGCGGACAGAAAATGAAAAATGCAAGCGGCCAGTAGGGTGACAGTGAGCGGCAGTGAAAAGAAAAGCGAACAGGATCATAAGCAACAAAGACATATTTTCTGCATAATACGTGTAACTAAGAAGTTTCAAGATGCAACAACAATGGGAAAGAAATGTACAAAAAAGTGTGCTTCACGTGCAAAGGTAGTTTTTTGCTAATAGACTATTAGACCTATTGATTTTTGCTTTTCGAAAACACATCGTTTCTCGTATGTGGTGTGGTTGTAAGTTTGACTTCTAGCAGCAATGTCCAGTCTTTCCTGACATTTACCGTTTTGTTATCTAAATAATCTGAAATAATACAATTTGCCACTGTATCAAAGCAAAGTAATTTAGTTAGTTATTTAATTGGGAGCAATACTTCAGAATACCCCGCCCGACTTCTCGGAGCTTAACGTCGATCCCACAGTAAGGTCTGCTCGATTGGTCAAACAACAATCCCGTCTGGCGAAACTACATTGCTCCTTGGACCAACCAACGCAATCTAGACAGTTCGGGTTTTCGTTAAAGTTTTGTCACCCAGCTGGCATCTTTATGCCAAAAAAACAACGTGCTTTTCTATCACACTGCAATTGAACATAAAATGAACATGGCGTTACAAAAATTCGCACATGGCGCAACTCACTATTGCAAATTCAAACGCACAGCACTATGTGAAAATGCTTTGCACCACGACAAAAAAACCACCACCAACAAGCAAATTTTATGTAGATTTCAAAAATAATTTTTTCAAAGATCAAAAAACTGAAACACACCTTCTATCTTCCGATGTTTTGCGCCTTGTCTGGTAGATCTTTGAGCTGAAACACTCCCGTTTTTAGCCGTTTTACCTCTAGAAAACACGCAAAACTTCATCGGTTGCCATTTTTTTCACACTCATGGGCTTCCTCCTCATTCAAAGGCGCAGCCCCTAAAGAACTGTGGGAAAAGGTCATTTCTAGGCGTAGCAAAGAGTTGAAAAGTGACCCTTGATCTTGTCCCTTGGTTTTGGAACCATGTTGAAAATTTGGGTGACGTCATCATATATCCAGTTCTGGTTGTGCCCCGGACTGGTAGTCGTCTCTTATCGTCTGCAAGCGGTCACGGAACGGTCGCGAAGAGGACGGTGGGAAAAGGAAGAGACTTTTTCCTTCTTCCTATCTTCCCCCGCGCAATTCTTCCACGCACTTTTTCGTTTGTTACATGTAGGTACAGGGACCGCGCAGAGGGAGGGGCTGGGGGGGCTTTAGCCTCCCCACTTTTTTGCAAGAATAAAAATAAATTTAACAAAAAATAATTTAACAAAAGTAACAGAGTGAAAAATAGCAAAAAATCGTTAATTCGAAAGTGACCAGAGTTACTGGCAAAGACAAACGCGCAGATAAATAGGCAGAATGAAGCATTAGTCGTTACAATTGTAAAATATTTTTTCGCTTCTAACCTAGCAGAGGTAAACGTCTTTTAAATGGCCTCTTTTTCCTGGAAAAACTGTACAACGATGATGTTAATATTTCAGTGTTAACCGCCCAGATGGAAATTTTACAAGTGCTGCTGAAGGATGGTGATTATTTTTGTTTTGACGACATCATAGTAAAAATCAAAGAGCTACCCAACCCAGAACGGGAAATGATAAAAGAAGTTATCACGTTATGTAAGCTGATTGTCGTAAATCCAGCAACCAGTGCAGCCGGTGAAAGATCCTTTTCGACTGCCCGGAGGCTAAAAACATGGCTCCGTTCAAGAATGAACCAGGAACGATTTAGTAACCTGACAGTTTTAAACATACACAAAGAAAGAACGGACAGGCTTTCCACCATTGACATAGCAAACGAATTTACCGACCGCAACACAAACAGAAAGCGTAATTTTGGCACTTTTCGAGTAAATGATGTACAGTAACTTTAATATCATTCACTAAATTATTTTCAGTTACCGTTTTGTTTTGCCGTGTAAATATTTTGAATGAATAATTAAACAATTATTGAACTCGGCTTTCGTATGATACGAAGATATACAGATCTCAGAGGGTGTTATCCACCGGGCTCAAGCCTTCAGCTTTGGCGGATAACCCCCTTGATCTGATACTCAGCCTCGTGCAATAATTGCTCAGTAATTATACAGCCTTGAGTTCAAGGCAGCTCAAGCAAAATCGTTGGATTTCTGGCTTATTTATAGTAATTAAAGGTTGATATCAGTAGTATAACATAACAATCTATGATATTTCAATTTAGTGATGGTGAATTTTCAGACCCGATAGCAAGATCACTGAAGATGTGGAAAAAAATCAATAGCTTTATCGTTATTCGCATTCTCCGTTACTTTAGAGAAATTGAATAGAAATCCACAAGCATGCCCCCCCCGGCCCCCCCCCCAAAATTTTCTTTCACGCATTCTTCTTTAGCCCCCCCACTCGAAAACTTGCTGCGCGGTCCCTGAGGTAGCTTGATGGCGTTTTTGAGCGACAGAAGTCAATCTTTTAAGACTCCTCCAAATTTATATTGCTAAGTGTCTTGAGTCTAAAGAGAAGCTTTTTTCAGAAAAATTTGGGAAAGAAAACACTACCTAACTTGAAGGATGCAGAAAGTCCACTTCCGGTTAACTTGCGTCGGTTGACGTCATTTCCGAAGCACACTGATATTAAGGAGTTTGAGTTACCAGTCGACTACGACAGCGGCAATAAGATCTCCCTATTATTCCAACTCACTCATTTTTTCAATTGAAGGCGAACTCTCCTGGAGTTGATTTCCTAAGAACCATATCCAAGTTCAGAAAGTTAAAGAAAATTTCGTCGTTTGTTGTTTACGTCCTCCATAAAACGTTAAATAAGGTATTTCCTCATCGTAGTCATGAACTAGAACCACTACGTGGAACTTACCGGGGCCCAGTGGGACAAGGGATTGCATAAATATAGTTTACCCCTTGCACCCCTCCCCCCTCCTCTGTGGAGGCTAATACTTAGTCTGATTTAACTCATGCAGAAAAAAAGCAATAAAATGCATGAGAAAGGAGGATGTTGTTGTAAGTTTGTTCAGTGCTATCACAGCTAACGGTCTGTGTCATAGTAGTGTTTTTACACTGTGATGTAAATAAGTGTGATCTGTATAAGGTTTTTATTTGTTTTCAAGTTTAAGTGAAAGAGCAAAAATCACTGACAGTTTTGGGTTGAATGGTAATGACAAAGTTTGCAAAGAAGTTTGTTACAGAATTATCACAATTTTGCCTACACGGTCTGCATTGCACTTCTCATAGAACAAACATGCATGTTCATGGAGAGCCTGTAGTGTTGAAGAATCCCAGTAAGTGCATGATTTGATGACAGAGAAACAAACTGCATAGATGGACATAATAAAATGCTTATCTATTGATGACTGAGTATCATTTGTTCATTCACTGCACATTGAAATGGAGGCATCTGATTGTAAGGCAGTGGTTGATACATAGTGGCATTCATCAATATGACCTAAAGTAATTGTAGAGGAAGTGTTTCTTTCCTGAACTGGGTAAACAGTAATAAGTGGTGCAAAGCCTTGACTAGATTCTACTATTTGTATAGCAACATTTAATGCATCTGCAACTGCTTGAATGATAAGTGCATCAGCCCATGTACCTTGAATACACATATTATTCAGATATCTTAGCCATGAATTTTCGGTATTGCTCTCAATAAATCTCTCTCGGTTGTCTCTCATAAATTGAACCCCAGCAGTATGTATATGCATATGATGCTTGCTATTGCCACATAATTGATGTGATACAGATCTAAAGAAACAATCACCTGCACCGCCAACATCTATTGATTGTAAACCAAGTTCACCTAATCTTGACTGCAAGAAATTCTCAGAGGAAATAGGAGAGATCAACTGCATTGTTGAGCTGTGATTTTGCATAAAAGGTCTAATTATTACTTCATGATGATCAGTGTCGTATTGAGTAGGTCCTGGATTCTTCTCAACATCTTTACTTAGACCATGTTTACATGGAGTGGGGGACCCCGGTCTAGTGGGGTAGGTTTCTTTTGTTTTATGTCCTCCAGAGCGTGAAAACAAAAGAAGCCAACCCCACTAGACCGGGGTCCCCCACTCCATGTAAACAGGCCCTTAGTTTGAAATTCACATAATTGGTCATATGGCTCACACAATTGCAAGAAAACAATGATAAATAACGTGCTTTACATTTTTCATTATCCTGTGATAATGTCTGCTAAAGAAAGACAACAAATAAGCTTTCTTGGGTATTGCCATTTTATTTAAGTTAATTATCTTTGGATCACATTTGTCATTACATTTATATCGTGCATGATAAAGTTTTTTGTCACCTTATTAACATAGCGATGGAGCTTTGAAGACTTCGGTATGTCAATCGTTGAAATCTTTTTGAAGACAAATGTCTTCAACATGCTATTCTTTTTGTTGAGACCTCTTACAAATAGCAGTGGAATTCTGCTCGGTTTAGGAGCACGTCCAGATCGCCTTGTAGCGCGTTTTTTTAAGATGATATGAAGTTAGCTTTGATAATTAAGTGTTCGCTTTGATTCTCGATAAATGTTCACTCAATGTAGATAGCTTTGATAAGTCGCTTTTACTCTCGATAAGTTTCACGATAGAAGGTTCACTCTTTTACGAGCGATCACTTAAAAGTGATCGCTCGTAAATTTGTCTCTCCAAATATTCACTCTTAAATTTTCGCTCATAAACTAGTGCATCTTAAAGGTTGGGGAATGTGTCGTTACCCACAAAGCTCGTATGATAATCCTTCTCTTAACTGTCCTCCGTGTCTCGTGCTTTTCAAAATGGCGTATAAGATTTCAATGAGCCAGCGATATATCTCAGTCAGCGATATATCCCTAACAATGTAACGTTGAAAAAACGAACCGTCTGCATTTTAAGACCGGTGCCAGCCCTCGGCTGAGCCCCGGTAAAAAGTGTGCTGCCCTTGCAGAGTTGTTGTTTTTGCTAATCAAACCTATTAATTTCTTCTGACGTTCGATCAACAATTCCCACGACACTGCCGCCGGCAATCAGTTGGTGGAGCCCCTGTCCGGGGGAGGTGGATAATGTTTAAAAGTACAGTAAGCAGTTCCTATGAAAAGAAAAAAACAAACAAAATAAAAAAACAAACAAACAAAAACTAAAAAATAAACTGTTTTTAACTAAATAACTTTAAATCATGTTAAAAGTTTAGCTTTTGTGTGAATGGGACTAACCTTATTCTCTGCAATAGTTTTAATTTCCACTGCATTACCAATCCCACCCACTTATATGATTAAGACTCGTGGCGTGAGTTTTAGGCACAGAACAATTTAAGACTTTGAAATAATTCAGGAAACACACCTTTCTCATAAAAGAACAGAAAGTAGGAATCTAATGTGATATATATGATAAGATTATTGACAAAAATAGTGATAAATGTATGTAAACAAATCAGACTGAACTCTAAGGAATCTTGGTCTCGAATCAGTTCAGCACACATGCTTAAATCTGCATCAATTCCAAGTCGGGCGTTTAAATAGATCGACTAATGCTGTGGAACCAACGGCCTGATGACAACAAGGAAGCTACGAACATTATGCGTGGATGCCTGAGGTGCGTATGGCTTGCTAGGCTTTTCCAACTGACCTAGCTGATAAACGAAGAAATCACCTTAGTTTTTATTTTGATGAATGCCAACAAATCAACTACAATTACAGCTGTAAATAGCCTTGAAAGAAATTTATATAACTTCATTTCCCACCTGCAGTACAAAGAGAACATTATAGGCAAGCATAACTATAAATCGTAACAAAACATTGTGAAACAGCGTTTACTAGAAGCCGTAGTAGATAGTAAACAAAGATGCAATGACTGCATGGGTAAAATAAGGAACTGCTTGAAAATCTCAGGAATTTTTTGAAATGCACCACATAATTAGTGCGGTTTTCTTAAAGGGATTGGCAGTCTTAATAGTTTATGAGGTGCTGTTATTTTAACTTCAGTGACGATCATTGTGAATTGGATGGCCCATCAGTGTAGGAACTGTTGGAGGGGGGACGGGGAGGGATTGTCGTCGTTTCTTTCCTTATAATACATTTCCGTTGGTTTTTAGCCGGGACGAAGCTTCGATGTTTTGACCGTCATACAGGTATCGCTAGAAAAGAGGATAAGAGAAAAGGAGAAAAAGCTTCAATAACAACGCCTTTATCGTGAATACTTAAAAACCTGTTTGGCTATGAATTTAACAATATTAATGCTGTATGTTCGGGTTCAAAGAAAGCTTGAACCGCGTTCACATTTGTATCGTTTATGGGTGTGATTGTAATTTATCGACAAGCATCACTACCCCCCACACATGGAGTGCCCCCCCCCCGAGCTCTTTGGATTGTTGCCGGGTTACTGGAAGGAGCTAGACAAATTATGATGGAATTTTACAAATTAGTTTAAAAAACCTTAAGGGTGTTTTTACAATCGTATCTTTGAGCACACGGGTCATGTTTATGTTTATAGCATATATTTCGACTTGTTATTGTAAACCATTCGAGGTACAAAGGTCGAGTGCTCTGGGCAAAGATAGATCTTTCTACCGATACTGGGTTTTGGAAATTCTGACCAACCTTACAGAGTTACATACTAAAAATCAAGTAGCATTTTGGTGAAAAATCCACAGCCAATTTCGCCATTTTATACCTACTACTCTTTACAGATCAAATTTCTCCCTGTCCTAAAAAGTTAGCCAGCCACAATTCCACGTAAAAAAAAGACGATAAAGTGGGCAACAAAACTGGATATCAAAAGAAAAAAAAGGATTGAAAGGAAAAGGTAGAAAAGAGGGCGAGAAAGAAAAATCGAAATAGATTCGCTGCTTAATTACATTAAATTTAATAGACAGAAAAAAATGCCCTTATTGTTGCAAAACTCATTTTTAGCCATTCCAATGCTAATTAACCGAAACCAGTCTAAAAAAGGGGAATAAAGCCCCAATATCCACATAAAAATTCTCCACACTAGTCTTCATACATTGCCTTAACGAATTTGAGAATTTGGTAGAAATCAAAGCATTTTCTTTCTAACTCTCATAACCATTTCTCTTGGGAATATATGGATATTATAAGGAGAAAATTAGTGTTGGTCACTATTGGGGCTTACAGGGTTAAGGGTTCATACCATTAATTCATGATCCGAGATACTGGAATTCCCTCACTTGTTTCAACCTAGAGTTGTCTAAGGTGGTGATATCAGGTGATATCCTTTTGTTGCTGAAATCCATTCCACGTATTCGGACCTGCTGTTGTCGATATGTAAATCAGTTTCAAGCTACTATTACAAAGCTCGAGATTTCACAAAATTATCTGAGATCAGACCATGCAATGTCTTAGGCAAAGTCTGTTTTGGTTGTCATGACCCCCAGCCGCTACAACTCTAGTCAGCAAGGTCTGCTGTTACAGATCCTATAGTCGGTTCCTCCCGTCAAACAGTGTAAAACACAGATCCTCAAGGGATTCTCAATACCAAAGGTGTACAACTGGAGAGTGAGGGAATAATAGGGCGCTGGCCGGGACATGTGAATTTCACTAATAAAGTTATTTTTTGAGTCGTAATTAAACGGAAGGACAATTCCAGGGATCGGTCCGCGAATTTTAATCGTTTGTTTGAAACGTCATCAAGTACACGAGCGACTGCCTCAAAGCAAAAAAATGTAGAATGTTGTAGTTGTAAATGGCTATTGTTGAATTCTTTCTTGACAACTGTGCTGAATAAATATTTGTGGACCTCTCCAGAAACCATCTTCTGATTAATTTCAAGTTTTAAATTGCTGAAATTCACATATTTATCCCAAGGGCTGGACTGGGTGTTTTCCTCTCGGTCCCATGATTCTCTTTTGTCATTACAGTGGAGAGGAGAAGTGTGACGTCACGCTACTATGGTAGCAAAATTTCTGGATCACAACAATGGGGAACATAAGCAATGACGACGGCGACCGCAACCAGAACCAGAACGACAAAAAAAGCAATAGGTTTAGATTAGCAAAATAACAACTTTGCAAAACAACAACTTTTTTGTACATTTCTTAACCGTTGTTACACGACTGTGACATAAAACTTCGCGCCCTCCTTATGGAGTAGGTGAACAAAACACAAAAATGTTATTTTTCTTTTTCTTAACTTAGATAAGGTCCTTTCGGAATCAACCCCAGCAAATTTCGCCAACATTTGACAAATTAAATGAATTGAATAAAATCGATTTCGGTTTGTTGTCATCCAGAAATTTTACTACCATGGCAACGTGACGTAACGACTTCTCCTCTCTCTCGGATCAGTTCGAAGTTATAGGCCTAGGGAGTAAAAAAGGATTGGCTAAATGAAAGCACATCAAGCCATAACCTAAAGGAAAACCAAAACGGCTCTTAAACATCTAAGAAAATTCTGGACAATCCTGACACTCCGGAAAGCGACGAGAATTGGATAAGATTTTGAACATTTAAGGTAGACTTGAGATTTCCAATTCGTGTATTTTTTTATATTCAACATTTTTTAATGATCATTCGTCCATTGTACAAATTGATGGGTGATTGATGAAGCCGAAAAAAATTGCAAGTTTATTGTAAGTCAGACAATCGCAAACACTGGGCGCTCATTACGGCACTGTCGTATCACAAATCATGATTACATACTGCTATTCCTGACAAAGTTTGACCGGCTAAGAGTAACTAAATTTTCTCCTATTGTTTCCTTGACGTTTAATCACTATTTCTAGAGATAATAGTGGTAAGTCTGTCAATAAAAAATCTTCCTAATATTAAGGATTCGCCGTGCTACAAAATATTAAAATTCCTCCATGAATTATTTGGTTGCTTGGGCAACAAAATTATAGGCCTTTGTACTTTATATCAAAAGAAATACGGTCTAGGCTCCTCTTGCTTTCCGCAAGAGAAAAATGTCTTAAAAAATCTAAATGCGACAAAGATAGTTTTCTCTAAGAAAAGTCAGCATATCAATATATGAATAGCTGCGTGATCAATTCCCACATCAAGAAATTCAGTTAAGTCCAGCCGTTTGTATTTGTTTGTCTACCCAGCCGTATTCAAACTTCTGATGTGGCAATTTTAAGGCCAGAAACAAGGATTTCCAGGTTCTCCATAGTCAGGTAAGACTGAATAAAACTTTGTCTAAATGTTTTGACGTTCCATATAGTTTTTCAGCTATTTCGAAAAGGCATTCTTCATAACTCTTCAGCAGAAGAATAAATTCCGAGGAATTATCTACTGGTAGGTCGGAGAGATCTTTAGCAGGAGCCTGATAAAGTAAATGGTACCGTCGGTGACAAGGGATGAAACATTTCTTACATCCCAACTGATATCAACCCCTCTATTATCCACCCAGCCCATGTAATGTTGTACCACACCACCGGGGTCAGTACGGCTCTTACTCTTTACTAACAACAGTGTGGATTCTTTTACGTCCAACAAGAATCAGAACAATGAAGAACTGTGAGACGGAGCCTTCGGTTGTTCGTCCTTATTCGAGAAGTCTAGAATGTCTAACCATTTGTAGATGTCAAGACCCTGAGCGTTGGGGTCCAGCCGGTGTTTGAACCCCCGACATCCCGCTCGGCAGACAGGCGCTTATCCAATTGAGCTAACCGGGCGGGCGTTGTGGGTTGTCTTGTGTTTTGGGAGTTTTTCAGAGAGCTCCCTTAATTCCCAAGGTATCCCGGCCCGCCTCCTTCACCCTTAGGGCGCAATTTAAATTATGAACTTCCCCTTATCGAGACACAAGTTCACCTGTTTGTCAATTCAGTACGGTTTTTGTGTCATTGATGTTATCGAAAATGTTGTTTCATGTCCCTAAAGGCAATATAGGACGTAAATAGTATGCATTAAAATAGTGCAAAGCAGGTGAATTTTATTTATTGAGCAAAAGTAAGTTCCTGATCGTGGGTGGTTCCGTGGTGTACTTAAATGTTCAAGAATTGGTATAGGATTTAATAGAGCCGAAGTCGATTGAGGAATTGTATAGTCACATTTTACGCATCCTACTGATGAACAGTTACGACTTTTTAGCAACAAAAATATAATTTGCCGTCTGTCCCCTTTGAATACATCTATGCCTTCACTGAAACAGTAGTTGACTATTGACTTGTTTTAGTTGTCGCTTACAAAAGTAACTGCTTTTTTGGCACACGTCAGGTAGATCAAGGGCGTATAAATCGCAAATTTTTGGCAACAATTTTTGCGCGTACCTCTCGTGGCTTGATTTCATCGCTAGTTTTATTGTCAGTTATCTTTGTCCTTGTCTTGACGCTATACTTTAATGAGTATAAAATACATGAAAATAACCGATGATAAAATTGATCAATGCTTTCTACGTGCAATGCTGCATGACAAATAAAAAACACTGGGAGGGGAGGAAAAGAACTTTGTTCTTTCAGTCAGATATGTACCGCCGCATTTTACTTGAAACACGACTTGAGGACCCTTTTTGTCATTTTACGTCTTACAGCAGTTCAACCGAAGTTTACTTCACCTTTTTTTACAGTGAATTGCCACGAATATGACGACGGGCAAAGGACTGCTGGCAGTCACATTAAAAGTTCGTTATCTCCGGCCTGGTTTCGTTGTATCGAGGTTCTTTTCAACGGCATTGCTGGGTCGCAAAATATCGTTTGTTATACCAAGGAATTCGTTATTTATAGAGGTTTGTTTTACATCGAGGTTTCACGGTTTACGTTCTGTATAAAGTAGCAATAACTGTATAATTTGCATACCAATGCCATTTCTATTATAAATTAATGTAATATCCAGTGAAGTACAGCCGGCAACATATGTTGACAGAAATTTTAAATCGCCCCTTAAAAATTCAATCTACTTGTCTTGGAGCAATATCATCATTTCCCGTAGAGCAAAACAAAACAAAAAGGAAAATTGAATACAAATTATTACAGCTTAAAAACTTATTGTCCTTAAACCGGTTTGCCGATTTTCATTCTTTCTTTTCTTTCTAGTCTTTCAATTTTTCCACTTAAGACTAGCTGAGCAGCCGTGAGAAAGCGCAATAAACTCAATGTCTTTCAGTGTTCCGTTTACATCAATTTACCTGGTTGAAAGAGATACAATATTCAGTTTACTTTCTTAAAATAGAACTTTTAGACAGTTCATTGTTCATACCCCCATTAAAAAGACTAAGTAGTTTCCCCTTGACTACAAACAAAAAAATATTTCATTAGCCTATCACTCCGCTGAACTACCTCACTAGTATAAACTTGTCAGTTTTGATAAGTCCTCAAAAAGCTGTACAAAATTGATATCGACCTCTCCGATCACGCAATGGATATCCTGTCTATGTTGTTTGGACAGCTAATAGAAACATTTTTGTGATTTTTTTTGTTGAATGATACTCTATTTTCACGCGATGGGATGGTGTTTTCAAATTTAAAAAAAAAGACTCATAAATGTTTATGCTAAGCCCAAGTTCTTTCAAAAACCAACATATCTTACAAAGGGAAAAATTGCTGTTTATTTGACAAAGTTGGAAACATTGTCTGTGTTTCCGATTTTCTACCAATATTTTCCTTCAACAAAACCAAAAATATGCATTAAGTATAGACCTATTCAAATATCGAGTAAGATAAATTCGAGCAAGGTTTCTTCCGCAATTCTCATTCAAATGAAGCAGAATGTAATTAAGCACTTTGTTGATTTCCTTTCCGGTTCGGCTGCCCCTTAAGCGATTTCAACGTATGAACTTCTGCGTGTTGAAAGAAAGATGTTTGAAAATTTGCTCAGCTGCGATACTTCATTCCAGGCTTACTTGGAGATCGGAATAGCGTGAAATTTGTGCGGATACAGTTACCGCATCAAGGTCACTGACAAATTCAAGTAACTGTTTCAAACTTTGGGGTGATCGATACCACTACATGACTCTAATAAGTTTGCATTGATACGCAGTCTTCGGAGTTAAGCATTGAAAAGGAAGGCATATTGCTTTGTTTCCATTTAAAAGCGAGAGGGCTACGCAAACAGCCCTCCAGCTTGACAAGGTGAGAGCCCGGGTGAAAGTTAACGATGCTGGTCCACTGAATTTTGAAGCGAAGTAAAATCGGTACAGTTGTGGTTACAATTACTTCTGACCTGTTTTCAAGTCTTCAAAACCGCCAGCTCATCGAAGGATGCAAATATTAAACCGCCAATTATTCGGTCTAAATATTATAGTGTTGACATTTGCGCTCTTAGTTTTTGCAATTGTTTCTGTCGAAGGGAGACTTTGCAAAACGCATCAGGATTGCCTGGGGGATTTCATACAGTGTTGCAGCGGTTACTGTCGTCAATCATGCAACTTGTCGTGCTCCAGAAACGATCAGTGCGGCTCACCCCCAACCCTCGAGGAACATTGCTGCAAAGGAACGTGTATATCAACATCTCTGACTTGTGAAAAGCCAGCACCTGAGAAAGAAAACGTCCTAAGCCCGCCTTTAATTGCTGTAGTTGCGATATTCAGTGTGTTACTTGTGATAGCTTTGTGCTGTGTCTTCAGGGCACAGCTGTGCAAAATGCGCGCACTTTGTTTCGCGGGTAACAGAGGCTCTAGGCGGGAAGGGAACGCCGGTGTCAAGGTAAGCGTTGGTGCCGGCTTCATGGAACTCGGACGAAATGGAACTGATGAAAGCTTGAATGTAACAGAGAGATTTACTTTACGAGCCGGTAGCAACTCCTGGGTTGGACAGGATTTTCGTGTTGTGCCTCCAAAATCATTAAGTAAAAGAAACTATCATGACTAAAGTGCGGAATTTTGTCAGATTGAATCGGCTTCAAGCGCTTAGTAAAAGCCCTGTTGGTTCTCTTAGGATTCATCCTTGACAGACATTACAAGTGTATTCATATTAACAGAAGTTGAACATTGTATTTCTGCTACTCGGCTTTTAATCACGCACGGGCGAAATCGCATGATCTGATGATGACCCTTGCAATCGGAATCTCTTAGAAGTCAGTACGAAAAAAAAAAAACTACTAACTATGTTTGTATTATTGTTTATTGACTCAGTTATTTATATTTTCAAAGGGAGTGTTAATAAGAGACAGCGTTCATCAGTTAAGTAAAGAAAAAATAACGATACCAACAACAAAGAAAACCGATGCATTTTTTTTTCACCCTATTGTAATGACGCGAAAGAAAAACGACTTTTGATGAATCATCAAACTACTATATTTGGTTGAACGTCTCATGGTTCAAACACATGAGTTCATAAAAACGTGCAGGTCATTTGTAGAAAAATCATAATAATATCAAAAACAAATAAGCAAAAAAAAAAAAAAAAAGAAAGAAAAGAAAAATTGAGCAATGATCGCATATCTGTAGTCCTGTGGGAGTGGGTGAGGGTGGATGAGATAGGGGTCGACTCGCGAATGTCCGTCTTGCCAGAGACAGGCCGATAATAAGTTCTCCATCTTTGAAATAACATCATGTTTAAAATGTTTAATTTCAGTCCCTGAAGTTTGTACCAGTAATGCAAGAATATTGCCGTTGACTTTAAAAGCTTTTATCCGCGATTAAAGTGACAATTTTTTCTTTCAGATTTTAATTTTCGCGTTTGTTTTTAGTTACTTGCTTCATTTGTTTGAAAATGTTATGTTTTTGGCAGTTATATTTGTTATGTCGTAACCTATTAATAATGAAGTACGTTCTTTAGGATTTCGATCAGTTCAGGTCCCTCGTTCGTGGTTTATTTAGTCCAGATTTTTCCCCAAAATCAATAAAGTTCAGGTCTAAAGAAAAATTCCGCAGGTTTACTTTAATAAAATAAAATAAAATAAATAATAATAATAGTGATGATGATGATCATAATAATAGTAATCGCGCAATTTTTATGGCAAGATAATCATCTGCGCATTACAGCAATTTTTAGTACAATAATATAAAATAATAAATATGATACGTCAAGAAAGATACGTCTTTAAAAATAAACAGCAATACAACAACAACTTTTATTTCAGTATTCCCACGTGATTATTTATGTTATAAATCTTAAATGAAAATAAGGGCTATAATTAAAGAACAATTTTTTGTCTATATTCCATACATGAATGTATGTAAGCAGCTGTAAGTCTGTAGATATGAGGATCGACATTATCAGATATAAAGAGGGTTTTTCCATTGTTGTCAAAGTTATTAAAAAGTGGGTATCCATTACTAATGTTTCTGTAAAAGTTAGATCGAAGACTATCGTAATGATTACAATTGAATAGAAAGTGTAATTTGTGTTCAACTTCATTTAAGTGGCAGAAGGGGCAAACTAGAAGATTTTCTGGAGTTTTCGGGACTGTATACACCGTATTCACAAATGGCGGACACGCAGGAAAAAACTGGTGCCTAGTCATGAAAGCGAGGCGTTGGAGGATAAACAAAACTTGCAAATGAGAACTTTCAGTGAAACTTGCAGAGTGTTTAGCACGGATTCCACCTAAAATAACTTTGTACGGACTTCTTTTTAAATACAATTACGTGGGATGTCTTCTGCTTTTAATGTTTAGTAGCTATTTGCTGTTTGCAATCAAAAGGGACGCGTATATCTTCAAGGAAACAGGATGATTTTGTAGGTTTCCGAAGCATCAGAAGCTCGACAAGTGGATGATGGCTGGAGAAAAGCGGCAAACATGTTGGCCCAAACTTCACATTGAAACCGAGTACAAAAGCCAGCTCACTGCAATTCGGTGAAACAGAAATATAAACAAATCTTGGTGGCAAGAAAAAAAGGAATTAGCGACAGATATATGGCCTACTTGTTAACGCAAGAGACGTCTGCCGTTGAACAAAACAGTTCAAGTCGAGATGGAAAAATTAAAAAGGAAGACAGGAAAGAACAGGTGACTGAGGTTTCGAAGAAGTTATGTTTGGTTTTTGTTTGCCAGGACGTTATTCTCTGGTCTTTATCGATGAAGGACATCAGTTAGAACTATTTTTTTAGTATGAATGCAGGAGCGATCGAGTGGAGTACGCTCAAAATTTCAACTTGTTACTCGGCAGACTCGGTAAGCCGGACACATATCATTTCAGCGAGTAATTTCGTATTTCTTATCTTTGACTGTTAAGAGTTTTAACTTTATGTTCCATAATATTTTAAAGTTATAGAATACATAAATAAATAAAATGATGGTCTTCTTAAACGGATCCAGACTCGAATTTAATTATTCGAAACAGAAGCTTGCCGTGTTCAGCCATGACACAAACATTGCCTTAAAAGTTTAACCTAGTAAAATGTAAGCTTTATACCACTTTTTTACCAAAAGCTCTCTCAGATAATGCCGAAAAGGAGACCAGGCAAATAGCAAGCCCTAAGATTCACACACTACAGCTTCTAATTTTTGATAAAATTATTTTTAATTATTTCGCAATGACAAGGAAATCATGAGATTTTTGCTAAGCTCTGCCAACGTACCTGATCGAACAATTCGCTCCAAAGCGACGGAATTAATATGATCCAAGGGCAGTTGTAAATACAGACATACATATGTACATAGGTATGTATAAAATGACACTGACATGAATGAATAAGCCTCGTGAATGAATCTTTCATCCGCCCTCGACTTGACCTGTTTTGTGTAATGGCGGAGGTCTCTTCCGTTGACAAGTAGGCCATATATCCGTCGCTTATTTCTCTTTTTCTCGCACCAAGATTTGTTTTATTTCTGTCTTACAGAATTGTAGTGGTCTGGCTTTCGTATTCGGTTTCAGTGTGAAGTTTGGGCCAACATGTTTTCCGCTTTTCTCCAGTCATCGCCCACTTGTCGTGTCGAGCTTCTGATGCTTCGGAAACCTACAAAATCATCCTGTTTCCTTGAAGATATACGCGTCCCTTTTGATTGCAAAAAGCAAATCACTACTAAACATTGAAAGCAGAAGACATCTCACGTAATTGTATTTGAAAAGAAGTCCGTATAAAGTTGTTTTAGGTGGAATCCGTGCTAAACACTCTGCAAGTTTCACTGAAAGTTTTCATTTGCAATTTTTGTTTATCCTCCAACGCCTCGCTTTCATGACTAGGCACCAGTTTTTTCCCGCGTGTCCGCCATTTGTGAATACGGTGTATGACTGCCCGTTTCTTGTAAGCGATGGTTGCCAAGTCTGAATTTATTTAGTGTTTTTTGTGAGTTATATTGGTAATTATGTTCAAGCAATTACTTTTGTGACAGTTATTGTTTAATGTTGAGTAGAATTTTAGTTTCTTTTTATTTCTTTTAGATTACATTGGTGTGAAGTCAGTTCTTCACGTATAGTTAATTGGATATTCTTTATATACGTTGAAGAATTGTTATCATTTAAATACAATTCATTGAGACATGAATTGTTTCATAGAGTATTAACTTTTTTCAAAAGATTCATCTGGTTTTTCTCAGTCATATCTTTTGATATTTGTAAACAATACTTAGCATAATGATCAGCTTTTTTGTTTTCTAAATGTATCGAAAATTTGATAATATTTATGTTAGTTTTTTCCTTCGGTGGTAGTCCAGGGGCACCCAACGACAATTTTCGGAAAAATATCTGTTCGGAAGACGATTTGAGAACTAGAATTTTCGGAACATTTGTTGTAAAATTTCTTGCTTGCCTGCCTCTCCTAGGATTTTCGAACATCTTAAAAATGGTATAATTGCATATTTTTTACGGATTTTTACCCTAAAAAGGTCATCTAGAATTTTCGGGAGCCTTTTTTCTGGCTGAAATTTTCGAAAAGGTAAGTTTTGATCCCTATTATTTTCGGATCACTAGACTTTCAGCTAGGAAATCCGAACAGATAAAAATTTTTTAGGGGATAAAAATATGCCTTTATCTACCGTTTAAATACTAAAATACCTTTAACAATGCTATGTTTAAGTGCTTTTGAACTATATTCTCGTTGGGTGCCCCTGGTAGTCGTCCAAGTTCATTTCTGCATGCAACATTTGGACTGTTAATTCACACCTAAGACTTCTTTACAGAACTGAATTTGTGTTTTCTCTATTATATCATTCTCCCATGAATCATAATCATCTTTATCGCAGATGCTCCAAACCTCAGAGCCATACATCAGAATTGGGAGATACAGTGTATTAAATAATCTGTTAGAAATATCTATTGGAAGACTAAGAAAGTTAAGGAGTTGACGAGTTGCAATATATGGATCTGTAATATTTAAGTCATGAAACTACAGCATGAAAACGAACCATGTGCTAGTCCTCCATTTTAAATGTACTGCGCAAGTGCAAAATACAAGGAGCCTGGAACCTAATATATTACAGGATCTCTTGGCTTTGTCTTTTAGGATTGCTTAGTGTTCTTTAAAACTACCATTTGTGGAAAATTTTACCCCAAGGTAGGTGTAACTTTTCGTGATTTCGATTTTTCATTTTTAATGTAACATTGCTGCTTTAGAGTGGTCGACGACAGTTCGACTCGTTAATACGGACACTCAAGGGGGGGGAACGGAAATATGATAGAAAGTGTTTGTATTAATGGGGTGTCCGTATTAAGCGGGTTGAATTTAGAGAAAAAGTAAGAGCTTACCATATTTGTACTTTACTTTGCCTCCTACGTCCGTTTGTACTTTTGGGGGTTACATGGAGTAGTGAGGAAAGTCTGCATGGGTGATGCTGTGGCTTGGAAAATGATGTCTGCCCTCAGAGTTGATTTGCCTGGCTCAACAGGTCCAGTGGGGGGGGGGGGGGGGGGGACAGCTGCCCTCTCCGCCCGTCCCTTCTTGTCTGGCGGTGTCCGAACCATATTGATACGTATACTGTGTTGGCTTGGTATCAACACAACTTGGTGCTAACGGCACTGTGAAACTTCTCGTCCCCCAAGTGGTGATATTTTGCGCTCTAGTCTTTCTGAGTGTCCATGTTTCCATTCGTATGTTTTTGACTGTTTGTCTTGAGTTCAAGAAAATTTAAGTACGGTAGAGCTTGATATAATCCTTTCTTGAGCAATAGTCTTAAATTGCACAGTAATAGAACAAATCTCTGCAGTAGCTACATGCTCTACATGGTAAGCGATCACTGGTTTGACAGTAGGCCTTCCCTCGTATGGTGAGTGACAGCAGTGCCTCAAGGTATATCGAGCTCCTATATCGAACATTTTGACGTCATTTCCATAGTCATAAGTGTGTACACCATGGAAAATTGTTGTCTATTTGTCAAATAGAGGTCTTCACAAATTCAATATCTTCTGCAGAGCGTTTCAGTTTCTGGCCTGGTCCAGATGTCATATCTATACGAATGTTTCTGTTTAAGGTAGAACTTCCACTCCGGGCTTGTTTTGCGTTCATGGTTGAAAATAGAGTCCATTCATCTGCACACAAGTAGAGATCTTATTATTAAAGAATTCCTTAGGCAAGTCACCAATAACTGAAAGATGTTTACAGGGCCAAGCATCGAGCCTTGAGGCATCGAAGCCTTGATTGTTGAAGAAACTGAGGACTAGCTCGCGTCGGCCCTCCTCGTCGCACGCGAGAAAAAATTTCTGGTACCCAAAGTAGGACTAGCCAGAAAGAAACGATATTTTTGTGATGGAACGGTCTGCCTAAAAATTTTGATACCCTTCAATTCACTGATTAAGGGTTTGGAATGAAGCCTTCTAGGTTAGAGATTCGTTGTGAAAAGCTCGAACGAAGATGACTTTGGTATCTAACTCAATACAGCAAAACTCCCCATCTTCGTTAAAGATGTTATTTCAAGTCAGAGGGGGGCTTGTCCAAAGAATAGCTGCATGATGCGGTAGAGCAGGTTTGTTAGTTAAAATTGTTCAAGTTTTGTTTCATATGCGACAGCTTCGAGTGAGAAGAAGGGGAACAGTAAGGTTAGCTACAGGGTGGGTGTTAAAACTAGTAGGTTAAACATGACAGACAGAGTCTTGGATTTGACCGATGCATTAAAAAAATCAGTGAGGATTCTGCAAATCGTATATCAAGCAAACACTTTGGAATAGGCAAAGCGATGTAAAGGCGGATCTTCGTTCGGCTTGCTCTGGCCGAAGGGCTTTCTCTGAAAAAGCCAGCCAGTTTTCCCTCATGGACTCAAAATGCTTTTCCTCTAGCTCACCCACCGGCCCGACTCAACGTAAAGGTCGACGCGATGTCGAAAGTAATTTATTCACAGACCAAAGCGCATGCAATGTCCTGTGCAAACAACACGTCGCACAGGTTAACAAAAAGCGCTTTTAAACTCGCATGTATTTACTGTCAGTATTTAAAACTCACACGTGCAGTAAAACAGCTGAATCATTATTGTTCGATTTCTGGCTTTAAAGGCAGAATTTTTTTTACTAATTTACTTCGAGGAAACCACAGGTTTTCATAACTACAAAAAAATCAACTTTGGATCAAGTGGATCGTCGTAATGCCGATAGCTCCACACTAACAGTGACTGAACTGCATTAAGGCATGTCAGTACGCATGTTCGGGATCATTTTTAGTTCAATAAAATTGTGAGCAAAGGGCATCGACTTAGACTGGCCTCCTTGACTACATTCCAAGATTCTGGTAAGTTATTGCAGCATCCATTAATGATTCAAACAACGTTTTGTGACTCAACTGTGATGATTTACACTTATATAATGTATATTGTTTAGTATCAGATGTAGTACAAATGCGCCTCTCAAAAAGCTTGGCAAGGTTGTTTTCTTTCCTGAGAGAGTTCCACAGTTGCGTATGTGGCATTAAAGCTGTGATCATCGAAAAGATTACTATCCAAAAAAGAATTTGAACGGATTACTAGACAGAACTCTAAAGTCCCAGACTTTTCGGTTTTATGTACACTTGTAATCTCGCCTTTGTTGTTACATTTAGCATGTTGTAAACGTAATGGGCCCACACATGAATTTGCGGCAAAGGTTCTAAGGAAACTGCCAAAAACTGTTAACGAAATGCCATCGGTTTTGTGTAACATGCATTTGCCAGTTTGAATAGCAAATCTATGGTGAAGAAAACTTATCCCGTGTTAATGAAAAAGTTACTTTATTCGAGTGAATCTTATTAAGATCATCCGCTTAAAACAATAGTGTTATCCCGACTGTAGAATGTTGCTCGCTATTACGCCAATAATAAAGTAGTTCAACCATTTTCCGGCATCAAAAGTGAAACTGCTTGCAAAGCTGAAGAGTACAGTGTGATCTTTACGGGCGGATTGGCGGAGACAAATATGCATATTCCAGTGATTGAAGTAGATTGGCGACTACGGCTCTAGTCATCTTAATTCTGGCAAACTTTGAGGTGCTAATTTCCCATAAACTTCCAATAACCACTAGAGCTCGTTAGCACAGGCCAACTTTATTGTTGCCGTTATCAGCCGAGTTACGAGCAATGCTCAGAGCTCTCAGTATTTCTACCGATCATTTCTTGCAACTAAAGCCATAATATGTAAGGGAAAGTTTACTTACCTTTTGACAGTGCTTCACTTGCTGTTACAGGCGTTGTCAACAGTGCACTGATCCAGTGCTAGCAATTAGCAAAGTTGTAAGATGAAGCATTCTGACTTGAATAAATGGCTTAAAGTAAAGACCTCTTTCAGACTGAAAGATTGAACGAACTTAGTAAGACACTGAGCTGCGCTCCGGATAATTAGAACAGCCTTTAATAAATTAATTTAAAGCAATCTTGAAAGTTCTCTTGGTAGTACAACCAGAACACGACTAAAAGAAACATTTCTTCGAAGATTTCATTTTATTTCGCCACAATGAAACTTAAAATCAACTTTGCAAATTCCTTCATCCAGGTTGAATTCAGTACATGCCAGATGAAGTACTCCTTTATTTAACAAAAAGACGTGAAACTCTCAAATAAAACTCTAGACGAAGAACTCTTCAAGAACTTTCAAGTTGAATTTAAATAACTGACGTACGAGAATCAGTTTAATATGCAAGGGGGTAGTTTTAAATAGATTTTAAATAAACATTTTTTTGCGGTCCTCCTTTAAGTGATCGTGGTATTCGGCGAAATAGTAAATATTTGCTGTTTGCGGATGCAATGAAAACATCGGACGCGTTGATGATCATGAAATGCAGCTTAATTGTGTCGATTACAAGCATTAACAGTTCGGTTAAATCGACCGGAAAATTCTCACCTTCAAGGAAACTGAAGCAGGGATTTAGCCCAATTAGCTCTGCGGCTAACTGCTAATTCCCAACTCACGTACACTACAAAAGTCACGGTCAGTCACTGAATGCCAAAAGTTTTCAAACTAAATTAGCTACCATTAAAATTCTTTCTCTAAGACTTTTAACACACTCGATCACCCCTTTTGTAGATAATAGATTATATATTAATGTAGGGTCCATTTTTTAACCTTGAGTTACACAGTATTAACTTTAAGTAAAATTTAGGCATTTGTTATTGTGCTGTTGTGATCGAACCCCCGCTATTACCAATCCAAAGAGGTGAGGTAAACTTTCCCTGACATCACTGAATAATGATAAATTAAAGATAACGTTGTTCAATTTTGAACACACACTCGGAAAAGGCAAGAAACGCTTTTTACCGGGTAACCGGCAACACTTAAGGAATCCTGCTTTCATTTTTTATTGTTCCCATTACTTTACTCAAAACAACATACATTATCGATCATCAGTGATCATTTCAAAGTACTGTTCGTTAATTGTTCTTTTTTTTTTCGATTCGCCCATAATTGATTAGAGGAAACTAAACAAGTGCATGGGTATAATTTCCCAGACGTGGCCTACTGCACATCCAGAGTGTGCATTATACTGCGGAAACACAGCCTTGACAACACTTTCCTGACAAGTCCCTCAATTGACATTGTCTTTGGGCGTAAACATCGTCCAGAAAACAGGAGTTTCACTCAAAAAGCCTATCTTAAAAATACCCCTCATCGTCAAACAACCATCACGATCATTGTGATTCAGTTGCGGCATTACAACAGTACTGTATCGTGTATGAAGGCACAGAAGGTTTAATAAGACCCTTTGCCCAGAGCACTATCTCAGTTTAACAAGATTGGCCACTAGGTCTTTTGTCATGCGTGTTGATTTTTCAGAGCAGCAATTTTGGTGTTTATTAGACCCTGGCTGTGGTAAAAAGTAGGATTACGGGATTTTTAATTACTTTTGTGATAATTATCTCGCTGTACAAAGCAATGGGGCAAGGGTTAATCCTTTTTCGCCGCGTAAATGCACGATTAATAGGCTCTTTAAATCGCACGCGAAAACTAGCTGTTCCCAATGGAGATGCTATCAATTAATCTTTGAATGGACGATATTTGCTGTTTGAACCTTTACACAAATTGCTTTTAAGCCGTCTAGCTCAGTGTTGGTGTTAACGGAACAAAACAACTGAAATTGACGCGGATTTTGCTGAGAGCCAATCAAAACGCTTTCCCATTGTGTCAAGATATTTAGAACCGTCAGAACTGAGACGTCAATGTAATTGATTGAAAAAGAATAATTCTTTTGTGGAAGGAGGAAGACGCCTTCTCTTAGAAACACCTGCAATTTCAGAAGCGAGAGATTTGTCTTTAGTGCATATAATTTGCTAGTCATGTTTTCGTTTGGGATTGCTGTCGCGTGATTTTATCGAAGTTCAAACAAATTTTGTTCCTTTGATTTGCTCTTCGTTGTGATTTTGGCAGCTTTTTAGGTATTTTATTGGCTTGTGTAAATAAGATTTCTTGTCTTGATGCTTTTTTCGTTATTTGCATATTGGTCTTTTAGAATACATTTTTTATTCTTATTTTCCTTGCCTTTCAGGAAACTTCGCGAAACATGTCATGGCGGACGAGACAACTAAATAGATGTTCGTCGGCGATCCATTGGTTACCCGCCAAGAATTAATAAGAGAATAATACTTCCTCGTCAATGTCCCCCGCGGTGAAAATTGCTTACATTAGATTTGAAAACATTGCTGCTAACTACGACAACATTATTATTCTCAAGTGGTTTAACCGACAGAACTGAGTAAAGCAATATTCATAAAGCACGCGCTTCCTTGGAGTCGAATATTTCAAATTTTCAAAGGCCTCACCTACAATGGATCCTGGTAAATTTTGCGATTTGAGCGACGAGTTTTTAAAGAAGAAGCTCTATGACTGTATGATGAACTCGTTCCTCCCAGATAAGATATCGCCATCCCCTAGGGCGCTGCTAAATGGTTATTTTGCGGAAATTGTAACGATTAACCCGGCAGCGAGCCCAAAATATCTACGTTCGCCTCCGCTTCAGCACAGTCATCAACGCAAGTATCTCAAGCATTCAAAAGACTACGCGTTGCACCACCTTCAAGAGCAATTCCTTGAGGATATTCCCGAGGAACAACCCGAACTGACGAGTGTCCTCGGAAGCTGTCCGGATCACCAGAAAGAGAAATTGAAGTATTTCTGTGAGACATGCGATGAGCCGATTTGTCTTGATTGTACCTCTTCGGAGCATAGAAAACACAAGTTTTCGTATCTCAGAGACGTTTATCACAAACAGAAGCACAGCATGGCTAGTTTGCTCGGACAGGGAAAGAACAAAATTGAAAACACGCGAAAATCACTGAACGAAGTGAAGACTTTATTGTGTAAACTTCAGGAAGAGCGTTATTCAATGGAAGAGAAAATTCGCGAAAATACTCAAGCTTTAATAGCTACTCTTCAACAGCAAGAGGAAAAACTGTTGGATGAACTGAACAGCGCTTTCAGAACCAAAGACAGCTCACTTCGAAAAGAGAAGCAGCATTTTGAGTCAATTCTTGAACGATTAAGCGGTAGTTGCCAATACACAGAGAGGGCGGTCAAATTCGGCAACGAACTGGAGATCTTGGTCATTCAAAAGCACTTAAAAAGACGGCTAAACGAAGTTTCCAACACTCGAAAGGACTTCAAAGCGGCAAATTTGACAAACGTATATTACTTCCCCGACCCGAACTCAAACGAGATTGCCCGAAAAGCCCTCGGTTACATTGTTGTTTCCGATACATGTTCGGAGTTATCAATAGCAAGTGGCGATGGACTGGTAAAAGGTCACGTGGGCGCAGCGGCTGAATTTGTTGTGACTGCCAAAGGTTTCGACGACCATCCTAAAACCCGAGGTGGCGATATGATAACTATCGACGTCAGAAGTCCTAATAAGGCAGCTGTTTTGCCGGAAGTCGTGGATAAGGGTGACGGAAGTTATGCAGTCGCCTTCACACCGAATTTAAACGGCGAGCACGAAGTGGGTGTCGCAATTCACCGTCAACCCATAAAAGGAAGTCCGTTTAAGGTGATGGTCACCAATCCCCGAATTTATAGCAAAATAACTCGTCCAATTCTGTCCATTGGAAGCCTGGGAGAGGTTCGTGGGAAGTTTAAGCTTCCTTGTGGCGTTGCTGTCGATGGCGAGGGCAAGATTCTAGTAGCGGATTGTCACAATCATCGCGTACAGATTTTTGATTCGCAAGGAAAGTTCGTCAAGAGCTTTGGAAACCTTGGAGAGAAAAACGGGCAGCTAAATAACCCGACTGATGTGGCAGTCGATAAACATGGAAACATTGTTATCTGTGACAAAGATAATCATCGAATTCAGCGATTCACGAAAGATGGCGTCTTTATCAACAAATTTGGTGGCTATGGTGAAAATCAAGGAAAGCTAAAACGCCCTTGGGGAGTTTCCCTTGGGAATAATGACGAAGTCATTGTCACCGACCGCCGCAATAGTAGGATACAGATATTTAAAGAGGATGGCAGTCTTTTGCGCGTGTTCGGTCGCCATGGAAACGCCCAAGGAGAGCTGGATCAGCCGTACCATGCTATCATGAATTCTAAGGGAGAAATTTTTGTCACAGACAGTAACAATCACGCAGTAAAAGTATTTGATCCCAACGGCAATTTTGTACGGGAACTCGGCAATGGGGAGACTAGCCAATCAATGCTAAAATATCCCACCGGTATTGCTTTTGACATGGACAATCACGTGATCGTATCGGATCAATATAACCACCGCATCCAGGTTTTTAACGAAGACGGGAGCCTGGAGGCAACACTTGCATCTGGTCTTAACGGACTAGGACAGAAGTGCTACCCCAAAGGTGTGGCTATCACGCCGGGGGGTTTCATCGTTGTCGCAGACAGTGACAACCATCGAGTCATTATACTGTAATAAATATCAGCAGAACGACCGGAGTATCCTATTTATTCGATTAAACGCCGCTGTCGAATAAACGCCGCAGATGAAAGCAGAATCATCAATGAGCGCGGCCCTTGAATTAACGCTACACCCAACGAGAAATAATGCGGCGTTTGTTCGAAAATATCAGTTCCGTCTTTATAATCTACAATATCCAGGCAATTACGATTCTATCTCAGCAAGAAAGCTAAGGAGTTTTGAACATCTTTCTGTTATGTAAAATATTTACAAATGATGAATTTTCCTAATTGTTCTCAGTGATTTAAGAAATGCGATATTTATACAATCACCGTCGTCGAATAAACTATTTTTTTTCATAAAAAAGCAGCGGTGTTTGATCGAATCAATAAGATAGGCTGAATGCGCGCAATTGTTTTTCAAAATTACTCGAAGGAACAAGACGCAAATTTCAGTTTTGATATTCCTGAGATCCTGCAACAAAGCTAAGGCCGGAATTCAAATCTATTTTTTCGTACGATATCGATCGAAAATAAGATCTTAGAATCTTTAAGTAGAACTTTGATTTACCATGAATTAAAGAAGACCCCACCTGGTATATATAATCCACTTTTTTAACTTTTAGACTCTCTCATAGTCTTAAATTAGAATATCGGTCATCAATCCGATTGATGCTAGATCCTTGCCGGTACATTGCAATGTCTGTAGTACAAATCTTTATAAAATTATAATATATCTTTAATATATTTTGATAATCATATCTTATTAGGCTATTATTCATATATTAACGGGCATATTTTAGAAATATCATTACTATTATTATTATTGTACGGGAAGACGGTACTGTACATTTGTTATGTGCTTACAAGAATATAAAAAGAGTCGATGTTTGTTTCGATGTAAAGTCAAAGCTCTTTAACCCTTCCGCTGCTAAAGTGTTTGATGGAGTTTTGTAAGGTGATTCTAACTTTTGAGTCTGTGGACCAAATCCTATGATGTGACCATTCAAATGAAAGCTCTCTGCCTGTACTTACACATGGTGCTATTTGTTTTTCAAAATTTCCCAAAATGAAATTTGGAAATGTGGTCGAAATTTGCTTTTGGCTAAATTTGACAGTGAAAGGGTTAAAGAAACCGAAAGATTGACTGTTATAGCTAATAGGTGCCTTAATCCAATTAAGAGGTGTCCAACCTCTAGAGAGTCAGATCTAGAGGTATGACTTGAGTTTCAATCCTAAGGATGAGTCCTTTTGGTGTTCTTTTAAAAAGGAGTGTTGGCTCTAAAGAAGATTGAAATATATTCACGTACGAGAAATAATAACAATGAGGTTCACAGGAAACCCAAGATTGATAGTTCTGCGCTCCCTGTTTTTGTTACAAACCGAATTTTTTTGTTTAGAGGTATTCGCAAAGGTTCTCAAAACGCTGAAATACGGGCAAAAATGTAGAATAAACTTAAACTACCTGAAAACAGGTTTATCGATTATTTTCTCTGTGCAGTTTGGGCGTAAAATTAAAGGAAAGCAGCTCAAAACGAGGCAGTTTCGGGAAGGATATTAATTTTTAGTATAGCCAAGTATCTCGCTCGGGGGAGGGACTCCCTGTAGTGGCTCCGCCGAAAAGGGGTACCTTGTTAAGGCTTCAGGAATATGATCATGAAAGGTTCGGGATTTCACTAGTTGAAGTATATGAAAGGTTATGGAAATCTGTCATTTCGATCTGTAAAGAGGCCTAAAAGGGCCAAGAGATGCATCTTAGGGCTGTGAAAGAGACACAGCAAGAAAATGTTCTGGTTTTTGTGATTTATTCGTATTTAAAAGACTGTGCATTTACAGCAGTGAAAAGAGATACGAGGAAAGAAGTCGCCGAAGTAAGGATCTGAGGTCAGAACTGGGAATCAAACTCGGAACCTTCCGCACAGACGACCGCGCACTAACCGACTTTGCTAAACGTATTTTCATACAAAGGATCAGCACCAGGACTTGCTTTGAAAAAGAGGCCTCATGCATGTGTACCTCAGACGATCAAAGTTCACCACCAAGACTCGTTCTGAAATTGTGAAGTTGCGAAGTGAATTTCTAAGACAATATGGTTGAAAAAAGAGGGCAAAAGCGAATAATTTTGCTTACAAATGAAGCCTGTTGGTGAAATTTGCTCCTCTGACATAGTCATGCACTAGAAAGGGCCTCTAATCAAAATGTGATTATATTCAATCACAAAATTAGACACTGAATTCAATGAAACATACTTTCATTTTAATATTCCACTTTCTTTATACAATAATATCATATTAAAAAACTATGACTTAACCTACTAAACTAGCGATCTAGAGTTGAAAAAAAATTAAACTGAAACAAACGAACATAAAACATTTAGTTATTTACATATGTACAACAAATGGGCTTGCAGCTTGTCGCTTGAGGCATGGGTCTCGTTGTCTTAAAACATGAAATTCATAACTGATCAACTGTGCTCTGTTTCACTTTGGAAGACGCAAAACGCGGCGGTACCAACGCACAAAACAAGATGACTTGTTGTTGTTCTGCAAATGAATAAAAAATGAGAGATATTGTATAACAGTGCTGATATCTTCTAGGTAAAGACTGGCGTAGTTAAGCAACACTAAAACGCGCAGGTTACCCAGGAGTCGGGGCGTTTGAAGCATTAGCCTACAGGCTTTATGTGCCTCATCGTTTTGCACCCGATCCCTTCCTTTTTCTTTTCAACTTTTGCCCAGTGTCCACCCGGTTTTCTTTTCAGTCTCTCCCCAGTCCCCGCCCATTATATTTTCACCCTTTTCCCAACGTCCCTCTTTTTATTTTGTGTGTTAATTCCTGGAATCCACCGGTTTTGTTTTTACTAGTTCTCCAGAATCTGCGAGTTTATTTTTTTACACTTTGCAAGGCCTCTCGGTGTGTTTTTACTTTTACTTTTCGCCGCCTCAGCTGGTTTTGTTCTCTTTCATTCCCCTGGCTTTCGCCCTTTTTTCGCCCCACGGAAGGGAATCTGTAAAACGTACTCAGTGTATTAATACAGCTTTCACTGTCAATCTATGACATTGTCTCCCATTAACATTTACCTTCTTCTTTGGCAACTTTTGTCCAGCACTCCTTCCAAAGCCAGAGGATATATTTGCGATAAAGCTATTAAATCTGCGGCCAAGTTTGAGAACATTCAATCTTCCTGACTTAGATTTGCAGTTGTCAGTTTCAGAGTCCCGGTTTGCTGGTTGACACGTGTCACTTTCAGGTGTAGCGTCTTCTTTGGCCGATTCCTCTTCAAAGTCGTCTATGGACTAGAAAAAGTCAAATACGTGTTGTGCTTTAAATTAGATTTATCTCGAAAATGTCTGAGGAAGCAGTACTTCTTAATAATTATATCTTTCTTCTAGGCGTAGAAATAAATATTAGAACGTAAAAAATTTCTCTTAACTTTTGGTGTGTACCGCAGATCAGTGCTAAACGACATCCACCGTTTTTACACTCCCCATAAACACTTTGTTTAAACACGTTCTTATTGAGGTCAAATCCGTGCACAATCAAAAAGCTATTTGCAACCAAAAAAGGAAGTCTTTGTTATCTTTAGCTATTGGTCTAAGCTGCTTTTAAAATTATTTTTGCAGATGAAAAGCTATAGCGTGACTGTTTGCATCAACGAAACTCAGTTGTCTTAATGAGGACTGCTCATCAAGTACTTTTCCACGATGGGATCACTAATTAAGCAGGTGTTAGCTTTAAAGTATGGGAACGAAGCCGCGTGTCGTGACTGTCACACGAAACCTTTTCAGGGGCTCTTTTTGCAGGTTGTACAGTGGTCCTATATCTACTGTAAGTCTGCCAATGAGATCCTGTGGTCTGCCGTCTTAATAATACTCCCTTCTACAATATTTTTCTTTCAGACAGATGAAGGAATGAGGTTTTTTTTTGGGAACGTTTTGTTGTAAAGGTAGCCAACGGGGAAAGCGGGTTAACCGATCGAGTTAAGTCTTAACTCACCTTTTCGTCTTCTTCAATTGTCTTCTCATAGTCAAAGAAGTCATCATCTTCATAATCATAACCATCTCCCTCAGCTTCATGATCTCTCTCTTGTGGTCCCTCTTCTTTATAGAGAGTGGGGTCCTCGCCTTGAAGAGCTCTCTCCAAATCCTCCTCTAATTTCCAGAAAGGAAAGATGACCATCTTGTCATAGTCAACCTTGTAAAAATGCTCCATCCAGTAAATATCTAGATCTACATCCTCGAAGCTCATCCGAAGGTCTTTGATCTCTTCGGTTATTTCTGCCTTTTCCTCCCTTCGAGCCTTTATCACTTCGGCATCGTATCTAATTTCCGACATATCTCTTCTTTTACTTCTAATACTCTCTGCCAACCGCCGTGTTTCTTGATCGAGTTTGGCTTCTAATTCAAGATTTTTGTTTTCCATGATTTGGGATTCGTTTTGCAGGTTTTCATTTTGTGAAATCATTTTATAAATGTGCTCTTTCACTGCGGATGACTGTTTTAAAATGGAAGCGTTTAGGATCTTCTGTTCTGCGATTTCTTCGTCTATCGTGAAACGTGTCGAACGCAAATTCTGGATGTTATTAAGAACCGTGCTTCTTTCCTGCAAAGAATAATAATAACGATCAATTATTTAGTGGTTACCATTTTACCCTAACAGACAAAAAATTGTTTTCTTATAGTGTCACAACACCCAAACTGAAGTGAGCGTTATACCAGTTACTTCAAAATTAATAGTATATGAGGTAAAACGCCTTGACCGGCTGTTGCATAGTGGTGGTGTGCGTAATTATGCCCAACTTATGCACTTCTTGCATAACTTATCTGACTCATGCATAGTTATAGGTACACTCGCCACAAAAACAAAGAAAATAGACCAAAAAAATCCCGCCAAAAAATCGTGAAGGTTATTTTCTTTTTTCATCACTAAAGCTACATAGTTTATTCCAAGTTTAGAAACAAGATTTAGTGGACACCTTTAAGTTCAAATTGGTAACTACCGCTTCTTGTTTAGCGCGCTAAGCCCGCTGTAAGGGGTACGTATTAGTGGACTGTATAATCATGAAGTAGAACGTTCCATACTCTGGAGCGAGATGCCTACTGAAATGACACTTGAAATTGCCAGTTAGCAACGGTTGCCTGCCAGTTGCCTGCCTATGAGATCAGTGATTAAACTTAGCCTGAGTGCAGGGATCAGTAGTTCAAAGAAAAAATCACAGCTCAGGCAAAAATGGTGACAGCGTTCAACGTCATTAAAAGAAATGAATCTTGACTTCTTTAATGCCTTTTAGACGGTTTATTTAGAAAATGTAGACGAATTTTTCAAGAGCTGAATTCTTAGCTGAGGACTGTGTTTAAGGTCAAGCGCGAAAAGAGACAGTACAATTCGTCATCGCGTGTTCACGTCCTCTATGAAACGCGGTTTTTGGGAAATTTCACTTCGTGCAGTGAACGTCGAAGAAATGTGCAAACTGCAGTGATGTTGTTTTTCTCATATGAAACCACTTATTTTTTCTGACGTTCGCAGGGGTTGCCCATACGCCTTTTCAAGTGGGTACGAAGGGTACCTCTAAGACAGCGTTGAATTATTGTACAGCCTTCGCGTGGCTGTCGCCCTAGTTCTGCTTAGATCAGGATGAAACGAGCGGACTGACGCGAAACCATAAGTAAAAGAAGTTAGGGTAATCAAGTAATACAAAATAGAAAAGAGTTTATTGATTCTGTTAACGGTGTTTGTAATGAGCACCGAACAGAAGGATAACTGTCTTAGATGATTTCTGAATTTTGATTTTAAAGAGCATATTTTAAGACCTTTCACCATACCTGAACATTATTTCTTTCCTCCGGAACTTCAGAAAACCAGTTAGCAGGCGGACCTGCGAAACCCATCTGCACATGCTCACTTTGAGTCCTTTCTCTTCCGGATGAATAATAATCTAGTGGAATATCCTGCACGTACCATGAGTTATTCTTCTCAGGCCATGCCTCGGTTGGAAAGCGAGGCTTATAGCTGTTTATTGGCTGTTGCATTTCTTGTTCTGTGAAATCATCGAAGTCATCTTGAGACATTTTCTCACTGAGGGTTCCAAACAATTGATAGGAACCTACATCGTTATCTTGCGATAGCTGCAATGGCTCACCGTTGTCGAACGAGTCGTACCACATGGCTGGAAAAATTAAAAACAAATTATTATTATTGCTTAAGCCAGAGCACTTGGTCGACTAGTTCTAATTCTAATTCTAATTCTAATTCTCAGAATCGTATAATCTGCAAAGGGTACATCCCATCACGGCAGATGGTTGCACTGAGATTGGCCCTTTTGGTTGAGAGAGTGTGTTTTACCGAGTGGGTATGTTTCAGTCAGTTTTAGTTGCAATTTAGTTTTTTAGTTTCCTCCTTTTGTAGTGCTTTTTCGAGTGAGCGAAAAAAAAAAAACAAACAAACAAACAAAAAAAAAAACACACACACAAAGCAAACTACAATTGCGTCGAAAGTTTTGCATGCTTGAATTTTGTTTTAACAAGCTATGACGTGAATCGAAATTAACTTCTGCCACGAATAATGTAAAAACTGGAACATAACGGATTTTTCTTACCGACTTAAGGTGCGGCCCTAAGCATTTCTCCTGGCGAACAGGAATAATCGTTAAAAAGAGTAAATGACACGATAATACGGTGCGCTGAGCAGGCAACGGGGACACAGACGAAATAATTATCAACAGCAAACAGTAAAATATATATGAATTTAGCTGCGTGTAATTTTGTATGAATGATCAAAGTATTTAATGACCACTTTTTTTACGAGAACTGATGGTGCTCTGGCTCGTGCTGCACGACCGCCTAATCATCAATCAACTTACTGAAAACGCATTTCCACAATGAACAACTGGGCTATATCAAATAAATGTCAATTAGATCAATTAGTTCAGTTCTTAATGCATTCAAGGACTTTAATTAGAAGGGTAAATCAAGTTGACTTTCAAAATATGTCACTGGCTTTGTAACGGATCAATAAGTCATAACTATATCGCTATCAAATTTTTCAGCTTACCTTACCTTAATTTAACTGTTCACAAACTTGGCTTTTAAAGGCTGATTTCACTGACTTTTAAACTGTCAATCACTTTTCTTCGCAGAATTGGCAGCAAAACTAACCACAGTACCAAACGGTTATAACTGTAAACAAATCTCCGTGCTTGTAAATATAACTGGATTACACCGTGAACTAAAACCTCGCCGCATCAAATACTTCTCTGACTGGTTTGTTTACACCTTCTTCTTCTTATTTCCATAGTTACACGTTTTTGAGGTCACAGCGCGCGCTCTTTCAAAATGCAGGCGCGCGTGCCTTCTTTTACTTTTGAAAACAACTGAAGTGGTGAAAAAACTTGGTCCAAAACGTAGAGCAAGCTTATGAAAATGAAAACTTGTCGCTCTGCGGAAAGAAATAATAACATTTTTACAACCGGACAAATGTCTTAATGAACGCTCAAATTATGCTCTCTGAAAGCCAAAGAATATGCTTGACGTAAGGTAAAAGGATACGTTCGTCAACGACTGATGAAAGATCTTCAGTAAACTTCACGGTCAGCCATGATCGCGTCGACGATTCCGTTTTGACATAATATGAATTGTAGTCGGGAGAGATCCAAAAAGTTTCCTCAAGATACATTCTTTTCCGTTTAACAATTTGTCCACAGAAAACGATCTGGTATATATTCTTAATCGACTTCGACTTTTTTCAAGCTGAAATCAATTGGCGTAGAGTCCATAATCGTCATTTAATTCGTCAATGCTTTTCGTGATTTGCGCGCCATAATTAGAAAGTCAGCTGACACTCACTTTGGAGAACTGGCCCCAGTTGTTCAAAACGCTATCCTCTGGATAAATCGAAAAATTACATTTTATAGCTTTGTCAGGTCGCTGACTAGTTGACTCTCGCGTGCGCCTTTTCCCGCCCTCCCCGCCGCGAAAAAAATCCCATAACAGGACCTGCAATAGTGAGCCAGATTACTTGCAGAAAGTATATGAAACAGGCCGTTTGCTCGCGGTAAGAATCCGTGCGTAAAGAAAGAAAACACGCGATCATTTGCCTAGATCGGCTCAACGTAATGAAATCCAACACAGCCTTGGATCCTGCATTCCACGGATTAACGATTCCATTCACTAGATTTCAATTCTTTATCATTGGAACTAAGATTGCGGACGCTAAAAGTTCTTGGAATTCCGGATTCCTTGAGAGGTATTCCGGATATTCAACAAGCAAATTTCCCGGATCCCTGATTCCTGAAGAAAAAATTTCCTGGATTCCGGAATCCGCATTCCCTTGCACAGTTTTTTTTCAATTTTTCTTACAAACATGTACCGTGACAAAAGAGGAAAATTCTCTCTTTTGCGCGTGTGACGTAATATAATTAACTGAAATTACAATAATACGTGTAACTAGCCTACATCATAAACTCATTTGATTTTTCTGAAAAGAAGAGAATTTGATTGTTTTTTTTTTCCGGAGTTAAAAAAAGCAAACAAACCAAAAGGAAAAGAAAAAACTATGTCAACTATGGGATGAAAAATTTGCAACTTGCCGTAATTTGACGTCATAGTCGCCTGCATTTGGCCAGTGGTTTTCCGATGGCGGTAAATTTGTGAGACCACCATGTTGGCATCTTTATCGTCTTTTTATGACAATATTCGCTCATATTCTCGGTCTGGGAGGAAAGCAGGTGATAAAAGACGAAGGGAAAGGTATTCTCTCATATTTTGTGTTATAATAAGCTTTGTAATAGCGAGGTGGATAGCGTAAATTGTGTTTATAATTGACTGACAGTTCGACCTCTGGGGATATCAGAGCAAGTCGGTAGTGTTGTACGATCAAAGAAATTTTGAAACTTTGCCTTCAGAAATCGTACTATGTGTCTTACTCGGAGTGCAGTGAGAAGTTATAAGCTCAACTTACACTGCACCGACGATAAGGCGGGTTTGATTTGTGGGTTTATTCAGGGGTTCGTACTGGTCATGGAAAACCTGGAAAGTCATGAAATTAATTTTGCCTCGAATGTCATGGGATTTAATTTTTGGTCATGGAAAATTGAAGTTGTTTGTCAGATTAGTCACTGCAGACGTCAAAACAAGGGCAAAGTGAAATATAGAAACAGGTAATTAGGTTAATGGTACACATTTTAGTGGACAGCAAAGATATATCTGTTGCACTACATGTATGAGTAAAGTCAAAAAATACCCTAAAGCGAGGACAGTTTTGATAGTTTTTGAAAGTGACAGCTACTCTGTATACCTAATATCACTGAAAACGGGAAAAAGGTCACAGAAAAAGTCATTGAAGGGCTCAAGAGAGATTACAAACCCTGTTATTAATCCTTGTACTGCTGGTAGTCAATTTGCTACCGTGTGTAAGCTGTCTTATTTTTCTCTTGCAAGGGACGATGATGATGTCATTATAACGGATGTGCTACAGGTTAGAATTATTTTGCCCTCAGAATGTATAGAGGGTATTACATGGCCGCGTGGAGATACGAAATTTCTCTTCTAGTGTTGAAAAATTTTTCACGAGTGAGCGCAGCGAACGAGTGAAATATTTTTTCCAACTTGAGAAGAGAAATTTTGTATCTCCAAGCGACCATGTAATGTTCTATTATTTTATTATATAAACACCATTGAAATACCAAACCATTTTACTGAAATAGTTTTTTGGTCTGAAAGGTGCGGTTTATTATGAAGCCATAGCAATGGTGATATTTTCACATGGGAAGATAACTTGTTATTTTCACATGTGAAGATACGATATCAAGTTTTCGCACAAAAGCTCACTTGGTATTTCATTGGTGTTTATATAATAAAGTCCTGTATTAAATTACCGGTATGTGCTCTCAATAGTTTGCCTCTCCTCATGACTGTCATCATTGACCCTCTTTGCATCGTGTGCATTTGATTGTGAATTCCAGATTTGTTGGTTTTAATTTGGACCATGTTTTGGCCAGTTGAATGTAAAATCATCTGTTTCATTGTGTCTGAATGCCTTTTTTTTATGCCTAAACATGCAAAAGTAAAAGCCATTATACCATTGTGCCATTATCAAGGAGCAATCAACGACTGTGTTCACCACCTAATGTGTTAACCCCCTACAAGTTTGTCCCCTTTTTTCCGAGCTAGCCCCCTATTTTTCTATTGGTAAAATGGTTGTGTCCTAAGGTAAGTGAAGCAAGCGTTTGAGTGACCCGAGTGAGCAACAAAGCAAAACCGCATGACTTCAAAGGACCTTGTGAAAGTCCTAATTGAGTCATGCCCAGGGTTGTCAAAAGTAGCCAGCTGCCGGCGAAAATCACTACCTATGTGGTTAATATCGGCTGGCTACCCTGCTTAGCATTTCGTTACGGATAGCGTTTTTTAAATAAAATATCCCTGGACTTGCCGCTTACTTTGACAACTCAGCTGTCTACTACAAAACTTTCTGACAACCCTGGTTATGCCGCTCATAAACATTAACCTCTCCTAAATACGAAGCTATACTTTTAGGTTAATTCACAGAGGGTAATTCCCTTTAGAGTGAGCTTGATTTCTTCGAGGACTAACTGTACTACATATGTGTATTTTGCCAATTTAGAGACTCCAAACTATTTTTGAGTGTAAGCATTTCATGATTTGTTACATACAATGATGTAGTCTTGATAAGGTGGACCATGATGATGCTAACACATCAGTTTGCTAATTCATGCAACCTCTGTCATACTAATTTAAAGACCTTAAACCATTTAACCCATGGGGGGGGGGGATATTGGGGATTTTAAGTGATGGAGATAATCAAGGATTTTTTTTGGGTTTGAAATTTTTGATTCCAGGATTTTTTGGGATAGGAAAATTTGACCAGATCTGTATTTTTTGGGTGGCTTGATTTAAGTAGAGATTATTTTGAGTATTCAAAACAATCTTAAGATGAAATGGAAGAAGCTCTTGGGTGTCTTGAGCATCATTAGAATGATTACCAGATGCGGAAAAGATAACTTCAGATGGTATGATGAATAAACAAACACAAACATTCAATTTCTAATGTTTTTGTTTTCGTATTATTTTATTTAATGCTTTCTGGAAATTTTTAAGGCGCAGAAATTCTGTGTGGGATTCTTTTGGGGTTAAGAATAGAAAAAAGAATATAAACTCTTTCTACTTGACAGTCAAGCATCTTGTACAACAGCTCGATTTATTTAATTATTTAATTTAAATAGTTTTTTATAAGTACTGTATAACCTCCACCCACTTGTAACCGCTCTGTGGTAGTAGCCAACTCGAAAACTTGGCTCCTTTGGCTGCTACACACTTTTTTCCTTTGTTATGTTTGATCCAATGTATAGTTAACTCTGTTTTTAATTCTTCTTTTTTTCCTTATTGTTGTTGTATTGCAATAATTGAATAAGTGTGAATAAATGAACTTGAACTTGAACTTGAACTTAAGTTTTGGTCCAGGATTTTTTTAGAAATTTTTGTAAACCATAGATATTTTTTTTGGTTTTGAATTTTGTCTCCATTCGATCATCTGCATCACTAGAAATCCGGAGTACCTCCCTCCCTGGACTGTTTATACACATGACATAATATATGTATTGTAATTTGTTACTTAGCCTTGATAATGGCATCAAAATTGAAATGTGAGCTTTTTACACTTACATTGTTCGTATATATTTTATGTAAACAATATGGGCTCCAAGCTCAATTACTTTTTTCAAAGTCGCTTTTGATAACATAAAATTATGAAGTTACTGCTTGACAGTAAATACAGTGTAGTACCAGGGTGCAAAGAAAGTCAGTTTTACAGCTTGCCATTCGGGCAAGCTGTAGCTAGCATGTACTAGTCCGAAAAAAATTTGATGAGCAGGATTGGTTACGGTTCTTCGGTTATTCGAATTCCTAAAAAAATATCACTTGCCCATCGGGCAAGTGAAAAACAGAATTGACTAGCCTGATAGCCAAATCCACTAGCCCCGGGCTATTGGACACTACTTCTTTTCACGCTGAGTATTGCTGTAGATGCCAAAAACACAAACAAAAAAAAGTCACTTTTTGTAATATTGTACATGTAATGATAAAAAAATAGTTGGCAGCTATGTGAATTGCTTCTTATTTGCATGCACAACACATCTTCAAGAGTTCAATTGAAGAGCTTCAGTATGAAAGCATCTGTTTTTACATGTATCTGTTGTGTGTTTAACTTTATTTATTTTTGTTTTTATATTTAACCTTTCATTCAGACCCCACCAGCAAAGAGGTTAAGGAATATTGAAGGAGGTGAGTATGTTTTTGGCAAAGTAAAACTAGGGGTGCTTTCAGTTACATGTACATGACATGTAAAAAATCAAAGAATCAAGGATTTTTCAAAAGTGCACTTTTTCGCTGTACACTATGGGTAGTACATTATTTTGTATCGCTCCTTGGAAATTTTTCTGAAAAATGCATTTTGAAGCTAGTTGAGCTGATTTCTGGTCACTGCCTGACTATAAAGACAGCTACAAAGAGGCCGTTTATAGGTTGTGCACTTCAGATCCTTGGCTTCTGTTCCAGATGCAAACTGTCAGCTTCTAAATTTTCGGCGTGCGTAGAAAGCAAAATCTTGAGACAGTTTTGGGGTTTAAAAGTGACACATCACTGAGTCTTGACTTCTACTTTTCACTTTCTCTACTCCTCTCTTCTTTCTCTTTTCTTGCATTGTTTTTTTTTCCATTTGCTCGTCATTTACTAGGCTTTGTTTTGGTGGGGAAAGTTTTGGGAAAGCTTTTAGGATCTTAAACGTAATAAATCAGGAAACATTACTTGCATAATAATTCTAAATGAATCACAAAAAATCTCCTGTAGTATCAACATATGGGAAGATTAATATGCCATTTTCTCTTTTACCTTGATTGAAGTGATCAGATGGACATTTGAAGACTGCATTACATGTATATGTATTGTATGTAAAGACTGAATAGCTGTAAAGTATACATTACATGTAATAAATGTAATAACTATAAATATGTTTGTTTCTGATTTGCTTGTTTATCCAGCTGCATGCACAAGAACCAGTAACACCCCCATCCAAAGCTTCACAGATTTTATTAGAAGGGTGAAGAACTGGTCTGGCAGATACTTTTGGAACTATGTAGTGCAAGGGGAGACGGATGATGACAATCCATCTTCCCTGAGCAGAGATTTGGGGGATGCTGAGGAAGAGATGGAAAAATTTCACAGTTCTACAAACGCCAGGCTTGCTAGTGTGAGTAACTATAACAGACATAAAATTAATATTGCTAACTTATTGCAATATTATCTCAAAATAATGCCATTTGCCTGTAGCTGCAATAGCTACATGATGATCATGCACAATGTACGCTTTCTTCTATCTTTTGTGTCTTCTTTCCATTTGTTGTACATTATTTTGTGAAACTTTAGTATTAATTTTAAATCTTTTGTTTTCATCATTTTTTCCCAAGTCAAACCGTTAGGTGTTTTCATGCAATAAAGGATAATGAGTTGGAAGTTTACGATCTCACACCTCTCACTCACATAAACTGCAACTTATAAGACCTGGGCTTATATGTCTTTGTGACTTGGGGGTTTTAGGAGGGCTTCAAAATGGAGGGGCTTGTCCGAGGTGGCAAGAAGGACCTGAAAATCTCCATGAAAATCTTGTTCCATTACCCACCTACCTTTCCTTTCACCTAATCCTAAGATCCTAAAAGCTTTCCTAAAAACTCTTCCCACCAAAATGAAGCCTACTAAATGCCCAGCAAGAGAAAAAAAAAATGAGGCAAGAAAAGCGAAAAAAGAAGGGAGGAGAGAAAGCGAAAAGTAAAAGTCAAGACTGCTGTGTCACTTTTAAACCCAAAAACTATGTCGAAATTTTGCTTTCTGCGCATGCCCGAACTTCGCAAGCTGATATTTTGCATCTGGATCAGAAGGGCGCCAAGTGTACGACCTGTAAACCGGTTTCTGGTAAGTTTTAGCTCTTTATAGCACGACAGTGACCAGAAAACCACTCGACTAGCTTCAAAAGGCGTTTTTCGGCAAAATCTCCAGGAGCGAATGGGTTAACTGGAATCGAAATGGCACTGTGAAATTTAAAAGCACTACAAAAAGTAATCTATAGTAGTGCTGATTATTTAATATAGCCTCAAAACGTCAAAATATGTCAAATTCATTTTAATACACTTGGAATTGAATTGAAGGGAGGCTTATATCTGGCGGGGGGGGGGGGGGGCTTGTGCTACAGCTTATGGTAGTAGGAATTGGCTGAGAAACAAGGCTGTGGTTATGGATGATTGTGTTTTGTTTTTTCAGGTCTCCTTATCCAGTGGATGGTCTTATCAAGGACAGTCAGGTTTAACAAGAAAACCACTGATTAAGGAAAACGGGCGAGAGGCCTCTGTAGCAGCAAGATCAACCCGCAAAGCATGGGCAGCTCCAAAGCAGCCAAGTAGAAGTGTGACAGAAAATTCTGGTAGAATTTATGACCGTAAGTATATGTTTCAGTAAAATGATTTACAGGTACAATTATTTGTTAGACTGTGTACAGTATGTTGCCCAGTATCCGGACGGTACCAGTATCCGGACACTTGAAACAAAAACGCAGTTTTTGAGGCACCCTTTTCAGTTCTCGGTAAACGAAGTATTTCGAATGAAAGCTGAACATTTCAGCTTTGAGATGAAAGCTTGCGAAACAGTCACAGAAGACGCCATTCTGTTCAGGTGAGTAAACTTTTCATGGCCAATATTTACGCTGTTTACTGCGCAGTAAAATTAGTGCTGCTCAGAAAAGGGAGGCTAATGTGTGATATTTTCAAAGAAACTGTTTTATTTTTAAAGTGAAGATGGAAGTCAGGTTTTCAGAAAGTTTATTAATTTTTCTTGAAATTCGATTTGTTTGGAATAATGGAGGCCAGAAACATTCGCTAAGTTTTGATGTCATGTGCCCAGTATCCGGACAGTTTTTTCTTGGCTGTACAGAATCGATGAATTAGATGTGTACATTATCCGGATAAGATTTATTTCATATCAGTAACTATAATTAAAGTTTAGGATATATCATATAGTCGTAAAATGTAATTCTATTCAACTCCGTATGGAAATTTTCTTCACTCATTCAGAGGCGACTTGATTTCGTGTGCACGGCTTGTTTCGCGTGACTGCATTTTCTATATATAACTGAAAGCGTCTTAGTTGAACCTGTTGAACCTGGAATTCTCATACTTTCCCCGGTTGTGACTGCTAGAATGGGGTTGCAATGGTCTGAAAAATGTCACAAAGGGATTGAGAGATGTGAAAGAAGGAGGAATTAGTGCCAGAAAAGCAGGCTTATTGTGGGGACTGAGCATAAAGAAATCAACACTGCAGGTCAGACTAAATAGGAGAGTGACCTTTGACCGTCCCGTTGAGGTCCCTTCCCCAAGCTTTTTTTAAAATAAAAAATGAAGAAAGAAAGTCGTTTGCAGATTGGCTAATTGAGCTTGCAAACTGCGGCTTCGGCATGTCCACAGATGCCTTCCTTAAATCAGTGAAAAAGTTCCTAGACAAGGAAGTAAGAATTATACCATTTTCAAAACAGCCGCTTGCGTTCCCCACCATACCCCAGTCATTTGTTATGTTTTATTTCACGATGCTAGGTTATATTTTTGGAATCGATTGCCAGACTACTTTGCAAGTGCAAGAGAAGCTTATAAGTCGCTTGCCTGTCGAAAGTTATGTACAATTACCTCGTTATTGTTGTGTCCGGATACTGGGCCAGCTGTCCGGATAATGGGCAACATAGGAGCTCTGCAAAAATATTAATTTCGCGATGGAAACAAAGGCAAAAAAGTTAAACTGTCTTTCGTCATCTTAAGGACTAAATAGATTTTCTCTGGGCCAAATTTCAGAGCTCTTGCGATTAACAAAGGAAAGTTATTGCAATCTTAAACTGAAGTGTCCGGATACTGGGCAACATACTGTAATGTATAATTTATACTTTTCAAACATTAAATCAAATTTTCAAAAAATTACCCATATAAAGTGTTATTTAGATCATCTATTTTATACTGAACTTTTTTACCACTTATTAACACAGATTTTAAAAAAGATCAGAATCATTTTCATTTCATTTTCATCCGTGTAAAGACACTAACAAGTACATGTATTAGAAGCCACAGATTTTTGACAAAATCTGTTGTGAATTTTTTTGTCAGTATAACAGAATACAGTCGAACCCTGCTTTACAGACACCTGCTTAATACCGTCACCTCATTATTACGGACAGTTTGCTTTGTCTGTGGGGAAAACCCGTACATTATTTTTCTCTAAATTCAACCTGCTTGATATGGACACCCGTTAATGCAGACAACGGACACTTGTTTCTTGTCCAATCGACAAATTCTTATAACAAGTTAACCTCGCTAATGTGAGCACCTATGTTATTGTCAACTGTGTTATGTAATAACCTTTTTTTTTTGATGATAAAAAACCTTCAGTTGACACTCAGTGTCTGTGTTAACATGGTTTGACTAGAAGGTCATTATAATTAATTTTATGTTCTGTGTTTTATGTCCTCACTCTATTTACACATGCTATGTGTTACTGTTTTTCCTACAGCATCAAAATATAGAGACATTCCACAAAGCAAATCCCACAAGCCCTCTCAAAGTAGAAGGGAGTCGCCATCGGCATCAAAGAATTCTCAGGGATCACCTCAGACCAGCAGATCACCATCTCGAGCAAGAGGACAAACCCGTCCAACCACAGGAAAGAAATCACCTGCTGACAGAAGCAGATTTATCAGCACAGCAGAGAGGGTATTATAATGATTATTATTTAATTGTTATTTTTGTATCACCTTAGCAGCCATGTTTTTATACAGTAGCATTAAATATTAACAGGGTCCAAAGAAAGTCAGTTTTACAGCTGGTCCTTTGGGCAAACATGTAGGTAGCATTTCGTAGCCTTAAAAATGACAAGCAGAATTTATTACAGTTCCTCTGCAATTTAAATTCCCCCTAAAAAAAAACTTCACTTGCAATAGAACAGAATTCAATAGCCTTAAGGCAACATCCACTAGCCCTGGGCTGTCAGTCATGACTTTCTTTGTGCACTGATTACTATTATAATAATATATAATTTTTCAGTGCAGCTACATATTGTAGTTCTCAAAGTTACAACTGTACACAGAACCAACCGGACTTATCAAACAGAGTAGCCTTTTGTTGCTTAAGGTTGGCATAGTAATAAAATTACATGTATATATAAACAAGATTACACTGTAAAAGCCAATGTAATATTTTATGTCCAACAAAGACCAACCAGAATGGTGATGTGATCAGGCACTGTCATCTTCTTTAAACGAGGAACTGTTTCTTCGTTAAACAGGTTGTTCGCTTAGATGAACGGGACAGATACAAGCAGCTGGTGGCCCAGTTTACCACTCTGCAGACACCTGATCTTACAGAACAGTCATGGAATACAACATATGAGCACCCACTAGAAGTTCAAACTGATTTTCTTACCAAGACAAGATCTCATGCAAGGTAAACAAAATTCTAACATCAGGTCATTAAGTTATTATTGTGTGTTTGCTGTTAATAAGTGAGGGCTGACGACAGGGGTCTGAGACCACGTATTTTACCTTGTCACCAGCTAATTTGGTTCTTGAGAACGTGAAACTTTTTTGTTCTTTTTTCTTTTTCACCTTGACCATCTCCCAAGGGGCAACCTCTGTAATTTCTTGAGGCTTTTAATTTCTATTCTATTTGGATCTTGATTGCAGATTAAAGCATTTTAAGATCTTTCACTATAGACATGTCACTACCAGTCTAAGCAAAATTAATTCATTTATTATTTAATTATCAGTTGACATCATCCCCAATAACTTTCCCACCATTTTATTTGACAAGGATTATTAAAAGGACAGAGATTTTAATGTCAGAACAAAAATAATCATAGGTGATAGTCATTTGAGTTTTTTTTCTAAGTCATGGCCAATTTTGTAATTTTTGATTTGATTTAAATTCATTGCACTTGTCCACACCCATAGACAGTCGTAAAGACAATGTACACGGAAATTGTAGCCTTGGTGCCCTTGTCTCAAACTCAGTAGTGAAATTCACAATTTTTCTCTCCTCTGTGGTAGATCGGGTGATGGCAGTATTTTATCACCAAGATCAAGATTGTTACCACCTCCAGTATCATTCACTGCTCCAGCCTCCCCTCCTCAGTCACCTACAAGGCTGCGAGTCATGGCGTCACCGAGGAAAACTGCTAATAGGTCACACAAGCCCACTCCTGATGTTAGTTTATATTCCAGGCCGGGTGAGTACACTTGTGATACTTGTGTCCGTATTGTTTCACTAGCAGTTGAGACAGAAAAGAATTTCAAATGAAAACAAATGAAGAATGATCCTCACAGTTGTGAACACAATTTATGCAATTACACATAAAGAAGCCCCCCAAAAATTCAGGACATCAACGGGGTTTGAACCCATGGCCTCGCGATACTAGTGCGATGCTCTAACCAACTGAGAGCTATGAAGCCACTGATGTTGGGAGCTGGTCAATTACTTGTGTTCATATGTTCCTGTGAAAGAGATGAATGTGATAGATGTAACTACCGGTATATGAAAATAATAAATCATAAAGAACTGCGGAAATGAAATCAAATGAAGAATGATCCTTGCAGTTGTGAAGGCACCTGAAAAAAAAAGAGAGAAGCCTAATTTATTTCATATACATCTATCACAAAAAAGAATTTATCATAAAAATTAATGAATGAGCAAAGGTTTCCAGATAGTGTAGAACTTATGGTTTAGGTCTTAAACCCTCAGGGTCAAGAGTGACCAACATCAATAGCAATGTCACTACAACGTAAAGAGAGAATGTTATGAGAGTTATAAAAATGGCCATGAAAGGGAAGATGCTTACATGTAGATATTTTGTCAAGTTCTCTCATCACTCTCGAAGGAAATGTATTGAGATCAGTTTGGAGAATTTCTGCCCTTGACATCTGCATGTATTTAGAGGGCTTGTTTATTGATAAAGCCACTCCCCCTCCCCCCCCAAAAAAGAAAATAAATAAATAAATAATAAAAATAATATTATTATAGAGACACTTTCTTAGGCTGGATGGTCTTGTCATAAAACAGTGTTGTTGATTATGTACTCCTTGTCAAAGATTATTTGTACACAGTGTTAAGAAAGTGCCACACAGTTTATTTCTACCTCAAACAAAGAAATAATTATTACAAAGTGAATTTGCACATTCAACTGGAATTACTCAATAATTTTATCCCATGTACTCTTCAAAGTATTGAGTCTGACTGTCTTCTTGGGTTCAATTTATTGCAGGTGCAAGAGATAACTCAACTCCACACAGCAATCTTAGATCAAGGTAAGGAATTGTGGCTTTAAAAAGGTACAATGAGAGTGGCGCTAAGCCAACACCCGTGGGAATATCATTAGTGTATTATTTAATAAATGCCGCTTGTTTATCAAAGCAGTGTGCAAAGAAAGTTGTGTCCGATAGCCTGGGGCTAGTGGATTTTGCTCTAGGGCTAATGATTTTTGTTCTTAACTTGCCCGACGGGCAAGTGCTGTTTTGGGGGAAATTCAAATTACAGAAGGATTGTAATCAGTCCTGCCAATCAAAAAGGGTTTGGTGCTAGTTGAAATGACTTGTGGGCTAGTACATGCTAGCTACAGCTTGCCCGAATGGCAGGGTGTAAAACTGACTTTCCTTGCTCCCTGCAAAGGTTTTTGGAATAAAAGTTTTGGGCTCAATAATGCTCATATCTTTAAGTTTCAAAAGTGGCCAACATCAATTTTCTCCCAACAAGTATCAATGTGAAATTGCAACAAACGTTTATAAGAATTGATAACATGATCACCAGAACAAAATGTATTGATATTTCATCAGAATATTTCTCTCAACTAATTCTTAAATGAAATATATGGATATCAATATGTAGAATACTCATAAGGCTGAAAGATTTGTAATTTATTATTAATGAATCAAACACAGTTTCTCACTGTCTGCACACTTGTGGTGGACAGAAAAACCTCTGAAATGTTTTTAGCTCATAGTGCAACTGTGTGCTGGATAGAAGTCCTTCCACTGCAAAGTTTTTATTTATTTATTGTGGCTTGTGTATGATCTTTATTGTTATTTTTCTCTCAGAACACTTGACAAATCCGCTGTACAAAGTCCGTTTGATGAGGCCTGGACTCAAAAATGGTAAGTGTAATGTTCAGTTTAAGGAATGGAGAGATTTTAAGACATAACACATAAAGGATGAAAGTCCTCCAGGCCCCCCCCCCCCCAAACCCCCCCAAGAAAATCTAGTACTTTGTTAACAAGCAACAAGCAACTTTATTAATCGCTCTTCATTACAGAGGTTAAGCTTCACGTTTACGGCAAACGCGAATTTGTACCACGTGACCAGGTTTCTCATTTACTTGTCGTTTACTGTTCATTATTTCTACACATAAATTAGTTGCTTCACGCAATTTTTTATCCATAAGAATTGGTTTGAGCAGGTTTTATCTGCTCATTTTCTATTTTGAGAAATTCTCAACTTGAATCTGCCGTTTGCCGTTTGCCGTGTACGTGAAGTTTAAACTCTCTGTTAACTGTTTTGCAAACATTTCAACTTTCTAATCATGCATACACAATGTAGGCGAAGGCAATAGAGTTTTAGAAGCTTTAGCTTATTATACATGTTAGCAGCCGTGTCATCTGTTATTGTTTTGTTTACAGGAGAGATGTTTTGTCAGATGACAATTTATCAAGGCAGCGGGAAATTTCTCGTGAAGAAAGAAAGCTAAAGGCAATAAAACAAAAGGTGAGTTTGTTAACACGAGGTGCTAAACTCATTTCATCGTATTTCACCTTACCACTGTGTTTTCAGAGGGTGGGAGCCCTCTTTACCCTCGCCTGCATAACTGTACTGTAGTTTTAAAAGGTGACCTCCGCCTCTCCTTGGCCGTTATTTTTTCATTGTTTCCTTAGAATGCTGCCAGATCTTATTGTAATTAGTGTTAGGGTTAAGGTCAGGACTGCCTTTTTTCGCGCGAACGAACGTGTTAAGGTGATTCCCTGGTTTTGCATTGCGCATCTCTTGCTGCGCATAACAAGATGGCGTCCGTAAAAAAGAGCATGTGAAGTAACATTATTAAAATGAAGTTGACCGAAGAGAAACGCTATTGCAATTTTTGCTTGCGGTTGTTTCTTGCCGAGGTGAGACTCAATGTGGTGGGAATGTGCATAACGTAAGCAGTACGCGTAAAAAAGAGCATGTGAAGTAACATTATTAAAATGAAGTTGACCGAAGAGAAACGCTATTGCAATTTTTGCTTGCGGTTGTTTCTTGCCGAGGTGAGACTCAATGTGGTGGGAATGTGCATAACGTAAGCATTACGCGTGTTGCTGAGTTCGACTTCCTCACGGAGAACCTCGATAGTGGATGTTTAATTTGTGCTTATTCACTTTGATTTTCATTTAAACGCTTTCTTTATGACATTGTGTCCTAAATGTGATATCTCGATGTAAATTCTGTAAAAACGGATTTTTTAATACTTTCTTCCCCCTTTCACATACATTCTATTTGAAACTCGCCCCAGTCCTCTCTCAAAAATCAAGGAAAATGCATTTGGTGCGCACTTTCTGCAGCTCTACTGCAAAAACGAGTACGGTGACCCCCATTTTTTATTTCATGATTTTAATAAGGACAGTGCTTCCTTTCGGTGAGAAAAAAATTGGCACAAATCTATGTTCAGTTTTTTGGCAATTTTACTAAATTGTACGGATTGAGCTATCACGTGTCGAATAGCGCGTGTCCAATTTAATTCTACTTTGGAGCGTAAAGTAAAAACGAGGGCATTAAAAGGCATTTTTATGGTACGTAAGTGGATAAACAATACATTAAAGTCAAATTCTGTGCGATACCACATGCATCATTGAAAAAATCTTTCCTTTTTGTCTAGTTTTGGGCTACGCGCGGTTTTTGTCAAAGGGTCCAAAATAGCCGTATTTGTCAGCATTTTGACGTCAAAACGAGCACGGTGACCCCCACTTTTTATTACTTTTTTATCATCTTCTTGACTTGTTACATCAGTGTACCAAGTTTCATCTACAATCTATGTTAGGTTCTTTTGCTAGGGAATCACTAAAAAGAAACTGCAAGGAGATGCCAGTTTCTCGCTCTGACAAAGGGCTAGCACTTGAAATGTCAGCTCTAAATCGCTTCATGATGGCAAAATTACTTTATGGACTCACTCCATAAAGCTAGATTTTTGTGTTCTTTTTCTAAAACAGTTTCGTAATTGTCGCCACAAGATTTGATTTGACAGTTGTCTAACTGTTATTTAGTGCAACTCAGAAGTGTGTTTTGGGACCCTCAAAGTTAGAAAAAACGGCCATCTTTGAGACTAACACTTTTATATCGTCATTTCTTTACCTGCTTATAACAGCGAGATGAGGAAACACAAGCCCTCAATGATAGAATTCAGCAGAGATTGAAGAAAGGATGGGACTTTGAAGATGAAGAAGAGGTATTCTGCCCTTTGATATCTAGCTTGCGACCACAGACGCATTTCCGGTTGTTACTGGAGAACTGCCCACCTACCCGTCCCCTAAGGCAACATTTTCCCCTAAGTGAGAAGTAATGTTAATGTTGGCTTAGGGGAGGGGTAGGTGGACAGTTTCTCAGACATGTACAATGATCCCTTCTCCCTTGACTACTTGTCGAACAGTCACGTGATACACCTGTGCATTGTACATTCATTCTCTGAGCTGAATCTTGCGTTTATTTTCGTTTTCTCATACATGTATTTACGCTGCAACATGTATCTGGACATAAACACGTTTCAGTACAGTGTCGTTTTGCTACGTATTGCTGAAGTCATGTTTTAGTTTGGTAAGAAGTGAAGACTGTAAGAGACCCTTCCATGATCTGTCACCTTCACATACAGTACTTTTGATTCCCCCTAACTGTTTACTGGGCCCTTTTTAGAGTGCCATTCCACTAATTCTGGGATTAAACACGTCAACTGCTGTACAGTAAAAGGGCCTTTCACATCAGTAGGAATTGTTTGGATTGTTCAGGAGGATGTTGAAAGTTATTTTTGTTCTTTATAACAGACAGAAGAAGAAGCCGAGGAAATAACAGAGTCGTTCGTGGTGCTCACGCCTGACATGGATCGAAAGGTAAATCAGGTTTATCATTATAGTGTAAGTCTTAGAAATGGGGCGTTAACTCTCTACGGTTCAAAGCTCACTGACTTTTATTGGATCAGACTGTGAACAGGTTTTACTGTTATGATTGGCGTTTAACACCACAAAAGGAGACATTGAACTATTTATCTACATTTTGAATGATCGGTTACAGACGATAATCGGCTCCCAATTAATGTTATCAGAATAAGGGGTTTTCGGTAGCATTTGGAAGTAGCGGATTCAGAGATTCAGCTGGCGGACCTGCACCGTTTGTGTCTCAGGCGCGAACGTTGAGTGCCGAAGGCACGAACTTCGAGCGGGGTCTGGGAGCATAATCACGAGGGAAATTTTTAAAATTGGACTCTCTAAAATGCAATTTCTTGCGTTCCCTGGACCGGAATTCATTAACCGGAAAGGTCTTTTAAGACATTAAAAATCCTCTCCAAAAATGAAATATTTGATTTGACAATTATAATTGTCGGATTGCAGGTTTTCGTTTTCTTATAAAAGGGGTAAAATCTATCTTTGATTAATAAAAGAACAAAAAGAAGCGATTTTCAAACTTTACACGTCAAATAATGGCACGTTGCGTTCGGCATCCGGCCTGAAACGAAACCCCTTAACAACATTTCCTCGTTCGGTTGTAAACGCCCATCCAAGGGAAAGTTGTTGCTAGGGGCGACAAGGTGGAATCAGACATGGCTCAAGACAACTTTTATTTGTTTTGATCAGGTGGATGCCGCCTTGGCCCCAGGCTACCCTGATGATCCACTTGTGGAAGGTTTCCGAGTCACTCTTAAACGCAGTGATATCGCTACACTTGGTAATCTAAACTGGCTCAACGACGAGGTATGTTTTGAAATTAAACCGCGAAACTAATGATCGTATTTAACTTTTCACGTAACTGTGTGGAGAAAGCCTGGAGCTTTATGGTATTTATTGTGCATGCGTTTATTTAAGTCCACGACAATTATTGTACTCTAAAAGCTCTATTTCCTGAAATAATTTTATTCCTTGTTTTATAGGTCATCAACTTCTACTTCAACCTGTTAGTGGAAAGAAGTAACCAACAAGGCAAAGTTAAAGTGCATGCGTTCAATTCGTTCTTTTATCCCAAACTCATCAAGTCCGGCTATGCAAGTCTTAGGCGTTGGACAAAGAAGGTAATAAGAATTCCAGCAGTGAAGTGCTACTCTGTGGTTGCCACAGGTCGGCAGATCCTGAAAGGGTATTCCCGGGAGCTAGGATTTGACCAAAATACATGCGGGATTCGAGAAAACGTTAACGGGACTCGGGATTGGCAAATAAATAGATTTGTCACGATTATACATGTCTCACGAGAACAGGCTGAATTATTTGTAGTTAGTACTTCCTGTCCTATGTTATAAATTTCCTGGGTATTTATTTATCTGTGTACTTTATTTCCAGGTTGATATATTTGCTATGGATTTAGTCCTTGTTCCTGTTCATTTAGGAATGCATTGGTGTTTAGCGGTGAGAAGTCACTTTACTTTTTCTCCCCCCGGGGATTGAAACTGCCCTTACAGTGGCGGATCCAGATCCTCAGATGGGGGGCGAGCGGGCCCCCCGGGCTCCTCCTATGGATCCACCACTGGCTTATAAGTTCCCCCCCCCCCCACATTTATTGGCCCATCTACATGTAAACTTAAAATTACATCCGATTGAAAGCCCCCCTCCAAATATATTCAAGTGAATTCATTTTATTATGACCTTTCTTTTAGCCGTATTTAAAAAACCCAGTAAATACAAAACGTATTTTGATCAGCATTTGTATAGCTTGTTTCGAACCGGTTTTTTTTCTCTATTCCCGTAAAAACCCCTTATGAAGCTGTATAAGCGCTGCAGGGCCCAGTTCCTCAAAGGATGGTTACGTTTAACCCAAGATTACGCCAAATTTTAAACAAGCTTTTCTTGTCTAATGAAATGCAATTTAAGCTTACAAAATTACTGTAAAGCTTTTACTCTGAGTTACAGTTATAAAAACAGAAAATGTTACTTTAATAAGCAATACATAGGAAGGTAGTGGAACATGATTTTACTCCTGGATTAGCATTATTCTGCCTTTAACGAACCGGGTCCTAGACTAAAAGGTGGTAGTTTGCGGTATCACTCATAAGTTATGGACTTCAACCTTTTTAGCAGCGCTTTTACTGAGTTCACTGTTGGTTTTAGTAGACTAACAGTATTACGCGAATTGTGTTTTTTGCTCAATTGTTTTAGTGTTATCTTTGTTATACTACTACATGAGAAATTTCTGTAATTTGATTGGCTTAGAGCAGTGGTATTTCAGCTTAATTGGAAATACCTACATGTGAAAATTACAAACCTTTTGTGGGCAGTAGTATAAACAAATAATAGCATGATTTGTACGTGATATTTGGCATAAATACCACTCGTGATATTTCAAAATTGTCTCAAATTTCACTCGCCTAACCGCTCGTGAAATTACGTATAACAATTTCGAAATATCACTCGTGGTATTTATGCCAAATATCACTACAAATCATGCTATTACCTATACAAATTTTACAGGTGTAATGGGTGAATTTTGTTAGATTCTTTTCAAGATCTTTAAAGGCTGGTTTTCACTAGCGACAGATCAGAGTCGGAGTCGGAATCGTTAGCGGAGTCGTAGGACCGCTTACGACCTTTTGAAAATCTAAAATCGGAGTCGTAAGCAGAGTCATAAGCACGACAGACTCGGGAGACGGAAGAATCAGAACGTTTCCATTTTCTTCCAACTCCGCTTACGACTCCATCGTTTACGGTCCAGTGAAAACCCAGATTATCAGAGTCGGAAGCAGAAGCGGAGGGAGAAACCAATCAAAATGCACGTTCCCGCGTTTTGGGTTTGGTTTAGTTCTGCTTCTGCTTGCGACTCCGGCAGCCTAGTTTTCACTACATCGTAAGCAACGCAGACGTAAGCGAAATCAGAACGCAGTTTTCACTAGACCGTAAAGTGCGACGCTTCTGGTTACGACTCCGACTCCGACTCCGTCGCTTGTGAAAACCAGCCTTAACTTTAACTCTTGTTAGCAACACCCGAAAGTTTTTAGCTAATTCGTTGTGAGGCAATTTTTTGAAAATTGAATTTATTCTTTTCATCGAGTCTATTTAGTCGTGCCTCTTTCCTTTGAAAAGTCGAAACATGGTTGGTCAAGGGTATATGAAATAGCTATATTTTAGTGTTTCGCAAATTAATGAAGTTCTTTTTCGTTGAAAAACGTTTTCCTCCCGTGTAAAATAAGGTAAGCAAATGGTGCCAACTATAACGCTTAACACTTGGAACTTTGAAGTAATCTGTTAAAAGGGTTGGGAAATTTACAGCGCATTGGAACAATTTAAACATTGAAAATAACAAAGCCAGAAGCCTTTGCTTGCCTTCTGCAAATTTCTCTCGTACGACCAAGGTGAACAACCCCCCCTCCTCCCCCATCACCTCAGCACACTTTGTCATGTTTTCAGTGTTTTTTTGTTGTCTATCGCAGGCAGTTGATTTCCGGAAAAAGTGTATATCATATTACGACTCACTGAAAGGCTCCAACAATCAGTGTTTATCAGCACTTAGGTGAGAGACTGTTAGTGTTTTTGATAGTGTTGGCTAACCGTCATTTATAAACGGGTCGAACGCGTTTTGAGGTTTACCTGAACTGAGCTCCTTGTAGCCTGGAAGCAAGCTCTCCATATATGGCGAGCCCCTCGCACTCGCGTGTCCTTTCGCGTGTTGCTCTCGCGTGACTTCTCGCTCGCGACTTTTCCGGTACCCCTCCGTTTAGCACTCGTTTAATAATTGATTGTTCAACCTGGTAAGTAGTGTCTGCCAATTAATTAGTGTTCTAGATCACGAACGAAGGATTAGGATTTAACTATTAAAGTCTGAATCGTCCGTGTCTGTGATTGATTTGGTTTTTATTTGCAAAGGTGTTGTTTAATTATTTTATGATTGGGCGCGTTTGGGCAAGAAAATCCCTTGTGAGCTAGAACAAGGATGTACGCTACCTCGCATACATGTGTGTTGTTAGTTTTCTTCTAGATAATAGTATACGGTAAGGTTGTGAACAGTTAACTATAAAAAAGCCTCCTAGCCTGACGTTCTTTTTTACTATACTTAACTGACAGATCTTACCTAAACGATGAATCAGTGGACAAGAAGAAAGTGCCTTTTGATTTCAACGGATGGAAGACGGCATCTCCGAAGGTATCTGCACCTGAACTCTGAAACTAAGTGTATTCTTCGGGTACTCTGGTCTTTCCCCTTTGCTCGAAAAGCAGCACTTCCAAATTCCAACTGGACTTAAAACGCGCGAACACTTCTAAAGTTCTCTTGGTAAAGAAACTACATTTCTATCTTGTTCACAACACTAATTAAAGAGTGAGGAGAAACCCGAAAACACTACGTTCATAATTTATTACTTGTTTCGATTCTTGTTGTTTTAGAAGTGACATTTAGTACGTTAAGTTGGTTGTTCATTTGTGTGGTGTTTGCTACTGAGTCATTGTGTTTGCCTTGTACCTACTTCCATTATGCAGCCACTAGACTAGCGACGATGCTCTCTTGGGTGGTGCAGTGATGTGAGCACTCGCTACTCACTAATTTGGCCTTCGGTTCTTATCCCCGAGGCTAAGCCGTATGTGGGGTTAAGGTTATTGTTCTCGCTCCAAATTTAATGCATAATGGGTCAAATCTATTGTTCATGCTCATTTGCATTAGATTTGGCACATGTGAAATGCGATTTTTTTAACCAGGCCTTATAGTTGAAGGTTTCTACATGGTTCAGCACTTCACTTTACCAAAATGGCACCGCTAATTACATTTTTATATATATATTTTCTTTTTTTTCTCGTCTAACAGGATATACCTGAGCAGCTAAACGGATGTGACTGTGGAGTTTTCGCCTGCAAGGTATAGCTCTGAGAATACTAACCGAATGTAATGCGACTGGAAGTTCTTCTAACGGACACTCTCCTAAGCGGACAGCTCTACTTACGGCCGCCTTCACAAAACCTCGTTTTTCTCAACTCCCTACAAACTGTGTGTTTTTACATTCCCGTAAGCAGCCAGCCCCAGTTACGGACACCGCGAGTTTTTTGTATCAAACAAAACGCGTTAGCAACACATATGATCATGACTGTGGAGTCGGGTTGTAACCTTCTAACTGCTGGAATAAAACTTCGAGTCGCATAAATGTAATTTTTAACTTTCTACCCTTTGGATGAAATACTTAAGATAGGCTTACGTTTGGGGTCCGAAGCTGTCTTAAAAAATGACGATCGATCGCGCGGAACGAGGTTTTCCTTTTTTTAGATGACCGAGAGCTAAGGCAGTACCCGATTGAATAAGTTTTCCCACTGTTTTAGAACCAGCAGGTCATTATTTTCTTCTTTGAAGAGGACAGAAGGTCATTATCTATAAAAGTAATTACCTCTGTTGTTCCTCCTTAGCTACGTGCTCTTCCTTTTATAGGATAAAGGCGCATGAAAACAAATTGCTGGGCGTTATTTTGTCGTATTTTGGTGGTTTGTTTTTTCATAGGTGGCACTGAAAAAAAAGGTTTGTAATTAATAGCTAAGCTTCTCTATGGTTTGTTCTTTTTCAGTATGCCGAGTACCTTTCAAGAAGGGCAAACTTCGATTTTGATCAGGTAAAGATTAAATAAATACAAATTTTATGAAGAGAATAGAACGAAAAATATAATCAAAACATCGTGGCAGTCGAAGCTCCTTCAACCTGACAGTTGCCTTTTTGTTCTTTTTGTATCTTTTTCAGAGACACATGCCTTACTTTAGGCGACGGATGGTGTACGAGATTCTGACCAAACAACTTTTGTGATGCGTTACTACAGAGACCACCTCGTGTCGCCATCATTCCCTTGATGTCATGAAAAAGGACTTACTCTGCCACAGAAGAAATCGTCAATATCCGATGTAAAGATTTTTTTTTTACAATATCGCAGCATCGCGAAAAAATAGCTGCTTTATAACATTGAACTAAATGGTCATATTTACTGAAAAGTTGTGATAATATGAAGAGAGTAGATTACTTGGTTTGGGTCTCCTAACACAGATATACCCCAGATGCCAGTACCCAAACCCAACCGACAGCTCGGATGAAGTGTGAATTGTTTTTGCCTTTAGATTAAACAATATTTAACAAAGAGACTGTTCATTGCCACATTGTACAGTTCACTTTTGAACGACGTTACATTACGGTGTTATTTAAAGTCAGGTTCAACGCTGATACGAAATGACATTACCAGGAATGGCACAACAAAGAGGGAATGTTGTTTACCATTTTGATAGAGAGCTTTAAATTCGAGGACGAAGACGAAAAGGAGGACGAAATTAATTTTAAGTTTTTTTCGCGTACTCTCTAAAACATATACCCTGGAATTTTTCTAGAGCACTTATTTTATTAGGGGAGCTTGAGACATCTGAGTATGTCGAGGGTAGTCTCCTTGATGATTATGTTGGACTGAGAAAGAGATTAAAATAAACTTTTGTATGAAAACAAGGTGTGTGGTATTTTTTTTTTCATTCACCATTTTCACATAGACCATATTGCAACTCCCCACCTCCACTCAAAAAAATTGTATAACCATTGAATTCACATGACGTCATGGCGACCGTAAAGGCGAATCTTTGTTTACATTTCTCTTATTTTCTAAACAAGTTAGATCACAGGCTTTATCCATGTGTACCAACCTTTTTAATCTACTAACTTGAACAAACCAGTTGCCTTGTTGTGAAGTCGCTTTCTTTTTGCTAGGTTTGTCCACATTCAGTGCTGAATGTTTCGGGCTAGGTTGACACTATGCTGGATAGCTTTTTTTACCGACATGATAAACTATCCGGCAATAATGATCAGCAAGGGGAACAATTCGTTAATTATAACTCACATCTCGCGCCAGCGTGGTTGGCCGAGAGGGTCTGGTGAACCAGATCCCAGTCCTCACTCTTGAATATTTACTTCCGTCTCAGTGGATTCCAATCCTCGCTCCTACTTATTCACTTCTGATACAGTCTGAGTAACTGTTTTTACTGCACTAAAGTGTGGTACAGAACCTATTCGACAAGTGAAGCTCCACTCTAGAGATCGGCGCGGCGCAGCTCCGCTCCGTTGCAGAAATTGCACCGAAATCATCGTTCCTATGTGTGAACAGAATCCCTATCCGGTATGGATAGGGATTTCGTGCCAGCGCAAGAGCTTTCCGGTTTATCGTGAACATACAAAGCCTCATACTATTATGATAATTCGTTTTGTTTTATGTTCAACAAATATCAATTTTGTGCTCAAATAGCACCACTGTTATGCTTAAATATAATAAACATAAAACTGCTCTTTTTGCACGATTTTCCTGGCTCAATTGTTTAGACGTCTCATCACTGTCCATGTTTCAGAATGTTTAAAAACAGAAGCTCCTGGGAGCCATGTTTTTTGATAATGTTTCGCCTGGCATGGTCTGATAAAACTCTCTAATATTTATTGAATCTTTAAGCGCTCCCGAGCCACTAAACGGCCCTTTCAAACACAACCGGATCCGGTGTTCAATGAAAACCACACTAAGATTTCTTTTTTACTTGTTTATTTATGGACAAGTCATTATTTCGACGAAAATGACATCACGATAGTTGTCACTTATTTCTGTTACAAAGGTTTCAATTTCAGATCAATATGGCGTATTTATTTTTCCTTAAATGTCACCAAAGGACTGCAAAATGTCCAGCTGAAGTAGAATGTAGACATGTGACTTGCTTATAAAGTGTAGGAGAAGCATATAACCCTCTGAGTGCGGACAATGGCTTAAAGGGATCTTCTGTTTAGTAGCCATGCCATTCCCACAATGCAAAGCGAAGATATTACCGCCATTGCAAAGACAGCGGGAACAGTACCACCTGAAACACAAACGCAAAGATATAAAAGGTGATTTTTTTGTAAATATGCTTACTTGCTGGTCAGCGTACTTAAATGGACTTGTGGGTACGTGTTAGTGCTAAAACCAGGTAAAGTTATGTGTTCAACTCTGCGATGCAATTTCGTGAACTTAGTTTGTCTGTCATTTGCTACTTCCACAAACGATAAAGTCATAATCACTTCCATTAAGAACGCATTCAATTGACTATTCTGGATTAAGAATAAATTGATGGATAAACCCTAAAAATCATTTGTTTTAGTTTTCATTGCTTAGTAAAATTTAAAAATCTCTTGGAAAATTTCTGAATGGTTCCAAAATCCCTCCCTTTTCCACTTCAGTCCCGATTCCTTACCCTTTCCACGCCTGGAGTACGCAGGCTAAAGAAATTTGTCAAAAATTTATGCGTATTTTCATTCCTTAATTCCATCAATCGAACGCATCCTAATTCAACTCACACTACATGGATTATGTCATTCTGCTTACCTTGCAAAGCTGACTTTCTAGCCGAGCTTAGGTTCAGTGTCATATCACTGCTGATTGTGAGGGGTCCCTGTGCCAGTGGGTACAATACGTCATCATTTCTGACGTCACGTCTTTCTCTTATTTCTGTGATACAACCCTGTGCACATCTGGAGTTTGAATTTCTTGCGTCACAAATCCTTATTTCGCAATGGACAAACACGAAGGGGTGATCCGCAATAAACTTGAAGGCTTCAGTTGTGAACCGTGCCATGCTCGCTTTTATCGACTTCACGACGGCGGTGGTTTTATCGACGGGGCAGCTGAAAGTTGAAAGCATCACATTCTTGGAACTATTTATTGCTATTCCCTGTCGTTAATAAGAGTTATTTTATCATTAAAGCGTTCCAAATATCTATCTCTGTTAACAATAATCAATATCAATGGTGAATTGACTTTAAAAAACCGAAACAAATTGAAAGCAAAAACAAAAGAAAAAACGAGAAAAACGCTACTGATAAAGTACAGTGCATTAAAAACGTCGTCTGATTATTTTTTCGCCTCCTGTAAGGAAATACGGATTCCTGGATCCGAGAAACTTTTGCTTGTCGAATCCGGAATCCTAGGCTTTGGAATACGGAATGTAGCTCAAGGAATCCGGAATCTCACTGAAGATTGGAATCCAGAATCCAGTACCCGGGATCCGGAATCCACGGCCTGGAATCCAGAATCAAAGACTGCCTTGGATTCTGTCACATGGGACGACTTATTTCTCATAACTGCTGGCTTAACGTTATTCAAAAACGATTATACAGCTTGCCGTAATCAAGAAGACCCAACGAACAACAACAACAACAACAAACGAAGGACGTTGATGTATTCTTAGACATGCTATCTTGATAATATAATATAGTTTTCTACATTATTTGTTACTTGATTACCCGTCCTTGATGAGATAATATCTGTCGTTATGATTTCTGTTCTTGGAGGGTGTAGAGTAACAATTCTCAGCCAAAACCGACAGAGTTTTGTCCTTGGTTTTCACAGATGCTTGAAAATAAAGATTCTGTCTCAACTTGACTTCCACAGGGTAATCTTTTAGAGTATAGGCCGAAGAAAACCTAATGGATTGAAAATATATATTTTTTATTCATTCAAAATATTCCTTTTATTCTGAATGGCTTAGATGCTTCTGCTCGATCTGCGTAACCAGCTATCGTTGGATAAATGTAATTGGGAAGATGTCCACTATTATGGTACGATTCTTGATACCAATCACAAAATATTGGACTGAAATAGGGACTTCTGACGCCACGCACGGCGGTGAGGCGGCTCAGCTGGGGAGGGCAGAGAGATTTGGCGGGGGGGATTGCGTTGTGGAAATGTCCCAGTTCAAAATAATGTCAATCGTTTCTTGTTTCAAAAGGCTAAGTATATTTGACAATTATTCTTTGAAATCGAGGTGAATAGTGGCAAAATGTTTACCGAGCCACGAAGTGGCGAGGTAAATATTCCTAAAGCCACTATTCACCGAGATTGAAAAGAATAATTGTTTTAGTACATACACACGAAGTGATCTCAACAAAATCAGAGAGGAAACCACTAAAAAGTACGATTTGATTGACAGATCAGGTCAGCTAGACACGCGACAGTTTAAAAATAGATCTTTGTAGAATTTTCAAACATGGCTTATCGCTTCGCAAACAATAATAACTTCAATACAACCGCTAAAAGTTTGAATTGTTTCCTTACCTGAGAAGAAAAGAAGAGCTTTTTTGTTTTCTGTTGACTCGCCAAGTTTATAGCCGAAAAGGTTTGTTGTGTTGTTCTTCGCATGAAGTGCTGACAAAAATGGCGATTCGGTTCCTCGAGGTAAGACGTCGTTTTCATGTAGTATTCTTTCTCGTGTTTACTTGAAACGTAGAATTTCTAAATAAACTTCGTTGTTGGGCCAAATTTTTCTTGTTAGGATATGCTCAGTTCACAAAACGGCCTCTTCTAGGCGAATAAACGGGAGTTGTAAACAATCCATCGACCACAAAACTCAACAACAGTAAATGGAAAAACTCCGTTTTGAATCCTTCGAAGTCTTTTCTTACCTGAAAAAAAGTCAACCCTAGGATTTTGTCGACTTTTAAAAGAAAATGGGAAAAAAGCGAGCTCACACATTATCCACTCGCTAGGAGGTAAATATTGTTGAATAGTCCGAGATAGCGAACCAATCAGATTGCTTAAATCACCAAGATCACTGAGTGTGTATATACTAAATATATATATCTCTATCCCATTCCACTGGTTAGGAGTAAATGTACACTCAAGCAAGGAAAAATGTAGTTATAATCTATACTTCTCAAAATATTAAACCACTGCGTCGCGCAGTCGGCAGCCCAATGAACCCCCTTTATGGGGATCTTGTTTTCCTGTTGTAAACTTCAGTGCTTTACCGACCATCATCCTTATCTTAGTAATAAATACAGGAAGTTGCAAAACCTACAAGTTTAAAATTCGAGCAACATTTAGTCCTAATACATCCAGTGAGTTGCAGATACCTTTCATCTGGAAACATGTCCAAAGCAACTGTGAAGTTTCCTTTGCCATCTTCATTAAAAACCAGTTTCCTGGCATCAGGTTCAACCCCAACGGCAAAGGCTTGACCAGAGTTCTTGTAGTAACAGCGAAAGGGTATCTTAATCTCTCGAACCCTTGTTATGATCGCGTCACCTGCAACCGGTATCGCCATGACTGTGTTACTATAAACCGTTGCCTTTCCTCTGTATCTGGCGATCGTGCCACAGCCTGTCAATGTAGTCTTAAGGGTGAAATGTGTGCTGGTTTCCGTGGCAACACAATTTTCATCGCGTAGAGTGAGATGCTCGCGGTTTAAGCCGAGGAGAAGCGATTTAGGGAGAGTGATTGCCATAACGTTTTCACCACATCGCACGGTCGCACCATTGGCTGTAAGAAAGGAAAAAGGCATATAGTTATCTGGTGTACCGTAAGCTGCTGTTTATAAGCCCTGGGATTATACATCTTTGTAAGACGTTTAGATGGGGCTTGTAAACGGAGCGGCTTATATCCGAGGGGGGCTTATAAACGAAATAGAAAAAGCGATTCGAAACTAGCTGTAGCAGTGCTGATCAAAATGCGTTTTGCGTTTACTTGTTTTAAGAATTCAGAGTTGGCTTATGACTGAAGCTAGCGGTAGCTTATATTATAATGCATTTTTTTTAACAGGAAGATGGGCCAATTAGAGGTGGGGGGCTTATAAGTAGGGGACTTGCTCAGCAGTGTACGGTATTCGTTAAGGGGGTAGACTACGAGTAGTCGCTCACTTTCCACGTGGATAGCAGAGCGAGTGAATCACACAAGCGCGAGTGAAAATGGCCAAACGCGATGAAGGTGACACAATCCTTCCTCTAGGTCCCTCTCCTCTCCTCGCGCGCAGAGGAATATTCACCTGCACCCTCATATACTTAGTTTGCTCAATTATCCCCGAGGAAAACGAGGGACTACTCTTTGTCTACTAACTGTGAACATCTCAATGCAAATGTGGTTGATCCCCCTTGACGCACTAATGTTTTCTTTTTACTGATAGTTCCAACATTGATGCTTGAATGCACATATTTGTTTGCAATCATTAGGTGTTTTTTTATGTGCGTCGATAACAAAAAATCTGCAATGGTAAAGACCCTTTCTTTCCTTACTTTTACACACTGGTGATTAAACTCCTATTCTCAGTAAACACAGTTCTTTTGGAATTTCTTCTTATTCATTCATTCCTTTTTTTGCATGATTCTTTTAAATCCCGTGATAAAAGGTCGAATAAGAAGCTTAAGAAGCTACTGTTATCAGAATCGAAAGCTCCGAAATCAATTGATAAATTAATTGATAAGGGTATTTAATAACATTAAATCTATTCCGCAGACTCATTCTCTTTGCGCGTATAATCTTCACATAACGCCCCTTATTTAAAATCACAGAGTACTCACCAATGCATGAATGATTATCCAGTGCCAAATTCAGCTCGGGGTCTGGGCACGAGCAATGGTAACTGCCATTTGTATTTTTGCAGTTGTGTGAACATCCGCCATTGTGATAAGCACACTCGTTAATGTCTGTACGAAAATGATGCACGACACTTATTATTTCTAATAAGTCTTACAATGTACCAGAGTCCGTTTAGCCAAACAGCCATTTATTATATTGACCCTATGTATATGTCTGAAAATACAATTCCACCCGGGAGGGATCTAGATGACATCATCAACTTGAACTTGCCATCGACTCGCATAGTAGTGCATAAATTTCTGTCCATCGGTAATAGCAGGAGTCCCTAACTTTGGTAATAGAGATGTAGCTAGGAAAAGTCCATTCAAGCTATGACCACGGAATTTGTAATTGACTCACACAGTCGGTTTATTTAAGATCCGGGATGTAAACCAGCGGTTGAAAAGGCGACATAGCGGGAAATTCATTTCGAAACCAAGTAGTGGGTAAAATTATCGGCATGCTCTTCCTATTTGTATTGAAAATTACACTTTATGCAGGCCATTTCTGAGTTCCCGAAAACTCTCACTTTCGTTATTCGCAATCTATCAGGTAATATATTTTTTTATTTCTTTTTCCTTTGAATTTATAACAAGCCGGACTCTAGAAGATGAGCAAGGCAATACAAAACCTTCACTACGATACCTGTCTCGCAGTTGACTCCTTTGTAACCAAGTCTGCATGTACATTCGTATCTTTGTGGAATTTCCGTTTGCGTGCAAGTTGCTCCGTTTTTACAAGGACTGGATTGACAAGTATTAACTAGTGAAAAATAATGGCAGTCCGTAAGTCCATCAATTACTTTCAAGCAACTTTTTAAGTTTTTTTAAAGAATTGCAGTTGCGGTTGGTTAAAGCATATAGAGGCTATTCAAAAAACACTTAACCCTTAAAAACATTAACAGGGGCAGTAGAATAGAGATTCCTGTAAAATTGTTGGTGCTTACGATAAGACAACACAAAAACCAATCGGTACCAAAACAGACCGCTGAGAGGAACTAATTATGCCAACAACGCTTTGGCTCGAAAGCCACAGGCAGCCATGAGAAAGGTTCGTGGTACACCAATCACAATCAACCGCAGTGGTACTAATAAAAGGGACAAGAAAGGGACTTTTTAAAGAGTATAAAAAAGCAATTGGTAAAATAAGCAAAACAACAATTTTGCACCTGAAGCACTCTTTTTATGTACATTTCTTTGCCGTTTTTGCATGACTACGACGTGAAAATGCCTAATTTCGCGTTACAGGGAGAATTTAAACCAGCAACGGCGAAGTCTTATTTTCCCTGTTGAACTTGGATATAGTCCGTTGGAATTCAACTTTAGGAGTTTTTGCGTGCATTTAACGAACTAAGTGGGTGGGAATAATCACGATAAAAACTGAAATAAGGCTAATTCACTGGTTAAGCAACGTTGTTGTTGCCGTCACGTCGTTGGATCTTAACGTTCCTAAACACACTCAGTAAATCGACATTATGGAATGATGGGAATGCTAGCAGTACGAGATCGAAACGCTGCGAATCAGTTGCTTAGTGGCTAACGTGGGACAAACGATAAACAAAACTTTTTATACACATTCCTGGGGGAACTCCCATATGAAAGGGCCGGGGATTCTCGTCGTCTTGCTTAGGGGTGTAAATGTCGGATTATGGTCTAACTTAGGGTGTTCTGGCAAAACGCCACTAATGTTAGCCGTAAAGGTCGCTTTAGGATTGCTCGCGAAGAAATATAAAAAAATTATATATTTTCAATTCGTTTTATTTATTCGATTCACGTAATCAAAGTTTTTTATAACATCAATACCGAGAGAAGATTGTAACAAAATGTCTTTGTCCACAAAATGGTCTCTTTTAGGGGTCAAAAAGAGGTCGAACCACGCCCAGATTGGTCTCTTTTAGGGGTTTAATAAAAATTTCCGACCATCATCCCCGCCTCTTTCATATGGGAGTCCCCCTAGGATACACATCCACGGCCAATGATATCTTTTATGACAATCTTACCAAGTTTTTCAATGAACACATGCGGTGGGTTAGCGAGATCACTGGCATCCTTGTACCGTCTCATCCATGATGGCCGAGTACATTCAAAGCACAAACCGCCGGCTTTCGTCCACCACTCCACTGCTTTGCAGTAAGGATTTAGCTTTACACATAACCTCATGCAACTTTCGGACTTTGGTACTGCTTCTTTTGACAGCTTCTTTCGGCCATATCGCGTACACCAGGATGGAGTGAAATCGAGCCAGGTGACTGGAAACGAAATTGTCAGTGTAAATACGCCATATTTGGTAAGCAAGTTTACGATAGCAAATTTTAGTCTCTCCCACACGAATCTGCATATTTTTTACACGAATCAAACTTTCCGCCCGTTCGAAACCAGTGAATCCGCCCCCCGGGGGAGGTACTTAGGAATTTATCTGGTGTGTCACGGCTGGGACCCTGAAACTTTTAACCTATACCAGAGCTAGTTCAGCTGAATTTTGGTACCCTATTCTAGAGTAAACTCCCCAAATTCCCCCTATCCTAGAGTAGCTGTTTTCCAGAAACAACTGAGGTCACTATCACAGTCCAGCCAAAACAAAACCGTTTTGAGTTTTTTTAACGTTTTTGAGTGGCGGTTCTCGGTTTCCCTAGTCTAGAATAAAATCTTCAACCAATTGATCATTTTACTGGAAAATGATACCCTATTCTAGACCCAAACTCACTGAATTATATACCCTATCCATGAGTAAACTGTTTGAAAACCATCTGTTTGAAACCGCTCTCAAGAGGTGGTTTAAGTCCCCGTCCACACATTCCGAACAGGACCAATATATAGCCCATGCAACTAAGTTGGTGTATTTATTTGAATAAGATGTTTTTTTCTTTGGCAAAGGGCCTTGTTTGTTTAATTCATTGAATTTGTGGGATGATGTTCATTTTAAACTTTTTTTTTTTACTTGTTTAATTCAGTCCTTTTCGTAAAGTGTCTGAACGTACAGTACTATTCAAATTCTGCCATTGAAAGAAAGCAAGCGGGATTGGGTTTTGCCGGACTGATCCGACATCCCGACCCTTAGCCTGCGTAGCTGGCGGAATTGGTTTTGCCCTTGTAAGGGCTTTGGCGGCGAAGCCGCAATTCTCGCGGCTTTGCTGAGAGAAGCGAGCGCCGAAGGTTGGAGGAAATTTCGTCTCCTCCTAAATTCTCCGCACGGCTTCGCAGTTCCTCTACCAAAACTCTGCTTGCGCTAAATAATAATCCCGCCGGCTACGTAGGCTAACGACCTACAAATTGCCTTACTTTATAGAAAGCTTTACCCTGAACTACGCTGTATGCCGGCGTTGCTAGCAGAAAAACCTCTGAGTGAAAGTTAAGGTAACTTGCCAATGTCCTATACTAGAAACATCACTTACCACCGTCCAATGTTATTTCTTTCGGTTCTATGTTAATTGCTTGAACAAACACCAGGTTAAAAGGGTATAACAGTAGGAGGAAAACGCACGAAATGGACATAATTGTCGACCAGCTTTGACTAAACTATAAAACTTGAGTAGAGTGATTCAGGAAATTTATTCATTGCAGTGTTAAGTCCTTGGGGTCTTCCTTGGTTGTTTTGACTCCTTTGTTTTCACTGTTTTTCGTCATGCCCCTATCGTCGTTTTTCACACCGAGTACTGTGTGTCTCATTACTTTCCAAATTCCTTTACACAAGTGTGGAAAATTGCTAGTTGTGAAATTGTCAAAATCAAAAGTTGTAAGTGATAAGAAAACAAGAAAAAAGAACAATCAGCACTAACTGGATGAAATTATATCTTAAAAGATTTCAGGAATAAATAAAAATATTGAAAAACTAGCCCATTTTTTTCCGTCCGTATTTTACCTTAAATTGGCTGGAGTTTTATCAAAGAATAAAAGGAATAAACATCACACAAATAAAGGATTGAACCAATGCTAGATCATTTTCGACAAGGCAAATAAATTTTGAACGCCTGTTAAACTGTGAAGTATTTTAAAGGGAATGAACTCAAAACTGAATAAAAGCCATTGAAAGCGATGAAAATGGCGACAATGATTGCATCATATTCCATGATTAAAAACTGTCCTAAATTTTTCTCGAACGTAAAGAAAGACCTAAGTGACAATATGGACTGAATAGCTTTTAACATACAATACAGTTTTTGATTGGCCCAGATTTCCTAACCCTGGATCGTGATATGTCGCCTAAGACAGGTCTTCAATATATTATTTTCTTGACATACATTCCGGCATAATACTTTATCCCTATAAAAGAGCAATTCAATTTTTTTCCGGTTAATTCTGCAAATTCAGTAAAAGAGGAAGGAGTTTGATATCTTTGTGAAATTATCATGAAAGATTTGACGGTCATAGTGCTGATTCTTTGTTCAAGCTTGTCTTCGATTGGAAAAGTCACGTCTCGAAAAACTCTATACGCAAATGACAAACTTGTAGACGGCCTCGAAGAAGAAGCCAATGATTTTCCCGATGGAGCCGTCTTTGAGGAATCCTCTGGAGGTTAGATGCTAAAATTTGCTATGTGACGTAAATTTGTTTAAGATTTAAATCTGTCAAAGATTTAGAGTTTCATTATGCAGGACACGTCTGAGAGTTCAAAAATGATATATTTGAATGCTACTGCATGAACTATACTCTCCACTGTTAATAACAATCCACAGCCACATCAACTGATTAGGAAAATCGATGTGAGTAATGAGCGATTTAAGTTGCAATTTTGTGAAAGATTCTTTTCTCTGATATCCAAATATGGGTGCACTGAATATAAAGGTACTCAGCCATGATTTTTTTTTAAATGACTTCAGTTCGAATATTAGATAGCATAACATCACATGTGATTTTATTCTCTGTGCAAGCGCTTTATGTCCCTTCTTGAATGAAAAATAATACATGAAAGAGTTGAAACTATAAGTTCGCAATATTATGACAAATAAGACTTAAACTCCAAATGTTAATGATGGCAGTTGATAATGTTCCCGTGATCTTGTTGCGCATTCTCCAGATAGACGTTAAACAGGTTTAGAGTTGCGTTGACCGCAAACGGAAAACGTCAGATTCAAGTTGAGAATTTCTCAAAATAGAAAATAAGCAGGTAAAAACACTTCAAAACAATTTTTCTTGATAACCCTGGCATAAAATTATTAATTTTTGTGTGAAAGTGACGAACAGAAAACGAGAAAAACGGGAACAATGTTTCACGTGGTACAAATTGCCTTTTGCTGTAAGCGTGATTCTAAATCTCTCTTTTGTTTTGTTGGAGTCCGGAATACAACTCAAGGATTCCGGAATTTAAGTTCCACTGTCCGGCAAAGAATCCGAGATCTAGTATCTAAAATCCAGAATCCATGGAATGGAATCCAGAATCCAAGACTGTGTTGGATTTCTTCTGTATGTTAGCGACGTCGGGTTCCTTTTTATGGATTTAAACTTGGTGCGACAGCAATAGATTTCTTTTTATTTTGCAGTCAGTCCATGTACCAGCATTCCCTGCAAGAACGGAGGGAGCTGTCTCGTATCTGTAGGCGATAGCTTCTCATGCAAATGTGCAGCAGGATTTAAAGGACATACTTGCGAGGAAGGTCAGTAAAAATATACTGGGTGGTTCGAGTGATCCAATTTTTAAAATCCCGAGTATACGATTACAAACAGACCTAGACGACTCAAAAAATGATTTTCTGTGACCTTTCAATCCCTAAGAATACCAAAATGTGAGTCACCTTTTATGAGAATTTGATATTTTGTTTTATATAAACAGAGGATCTCTTAAGATACAACTGTATGGTTACCGTCGCGGGCGCGCTGACGCGTACTTCCTATTAATGCTGCAGTAATCAGGGCTGTTGATAACCAATCAGGTTATCGGATATATTTTTTTATAGGTATGATTAGACAGGAACTCACCATTTTTAGCAGCATCTTAGTTAGAGCGCCAAAGGCATTTTGTATTTTACTGATATTGTTTAGTGTTTTTTGACACTGCTATTTAATTCAACTAGCAAATGCAGACCGTTAAAGTACGCAGCGTTGAAAACGAGGTTATTTTTCGTTATCTCGCAACAAAAATAAACAAAATTTCTCAAGACTGCACCTGGAGCTGATATTACAGAGTTTCCTTTCATCATCAAGCATGATATCGCGCTCTGGGGGTGGAAATACTCAACAAAGTCACGTATTTAGGAGGCTCCGCCCTGAGGTCCAACCCTTCACCCTTTTATACACCATTTTTGACAGAAAAAGCTGGTTCCCCTTTCGCATACGTTTACTGAAAAAAATATCCCTTTCACATACCTACAACGTTTATTACAACTTTTCATTCTTTTTAACTGCTACAAATGCACTGATTTAAAATATGAATACATCACAAAACCAGAACAAGTTTCCTCGACTTTTCAGACCGATTAGATTTCATTGAAGGGTGAAACTTTGGGTGGTTTCTTGGTGTTGCGGACACCAATGACGTAATACAAAAGATTGAAAAGACACTGAACAATACCCACACCACAACACAAAAGCTAACAAACAATAGTTTCCGCAACACCAAGAAACACCCAAACTTTGAAGACAGTAAATAAGAATTTTGTGTGATGGGAACCTACAGGGAGTATGAATTGAACAATTAAACAAAGAAAATAGCACTTAGGTTTGGGTTTAGAAACCTTTAGCAAGCGCACTCTACTTAGGAATCAGACTTAGGATATTAGATATTTGAAGCAGAAAAGTACATAAAAATACAACCCATAGTGGCTCTAATTAATGCTAAAAATATGGACCGCGCTTCTTGTGCAAATCGTTTCGCATTAGATTGTGAGTTTAAGTTGAGGCTTTCTTCACACATTCAGTAAGGTAGGAAAAATTATAAGGGCGCCAAAAAGTAGAAACGCCGTCCTACTCTCACCAAGGCTGAAGTGTTGTCCGTTGACGCGGGGTATTGGCGCAACATAACTCTATTGCCTCAAAGAGTTGAAGAACAACATTGGGCACATAGAAAGTCGATAATTTTTGAAAATATATCTACGCAGATATCGACGAATGTGCTGTACGGAATGGTGGATGCTCTCACGACTGTGAAAACACACCTGGCAGTTACGAGTGCGTATGCCCAGATGCAGAGCTCTCATTGGCTGAGGACAATCATACTTGTGAAGGTAAAGCGACGCAGCTAAGATCTGCGTCAACTCGCGCATGAGTGTAAAGGTTATGATATGCCAATTCGGAGTTTTATAAAAGCCTTCTTCTTTAAGACAAGGCCGTAGGAAGTTTTTGATTTCAAAATGTTTTTGGTTTTCGCATGCAAACAAAACTGAATTTCTAAAATATTAATGAGTTCCTACACTTGGCCTCATTTAAGGGGAAAAGAGTTTTTAGGTTTCCTCTTTGGAAGGAACATGATGCAAATATACCCTGAGTACAATACTGAGTATTAAAGATTTAAGAAGGTCATCGATGTAATGTTTTTTCGGTAACACCCTCCATAGCTTACGATTTTAAAGATCGTCATAACGGAGCTTGCCGATTAACAATTTTCCTTAGTTTTCTCCTTTTTCTTCTATCTCTATTTATCTCGAGGGAGCTCTCAATATAAACTGTAGTGCCATTGCTTTCATCATTTTTCCAGCTTTCATAACCAGTGATATATTTTTTACTCTACTAATATATGGTTTTTTGTTGTTGTTGTTTTTTACAGCAAAGGGAGTCATTGTCAACTGCCTTCAAAACAAAATGTCCATCACCATCCCTAAAACCATACTCAAAGGAATGGACCGAGAGCATATTCGACTCCTGAAACCGAAATGCGGAGCAACCGAAACTTCCTCGCACTTCATTTTAAGAACACCGCTGACTGGATGCGGTACCACTCGCAGACACACGAAGTCTGCCGTTGTATACAGCAACAAAGTGTTGGAAATTCCGCTGAAAAGCTCAGACATCGTAACACGCATTCGAGAGATTGAGATTCCTTTTAGTTGCTATTATTCCAATTCGAGAACAGCCACCGCCGTTGGAATGAGGCCGGAAAATCGAAAGCTGGTTTTCTCAGAAATAGGAAAAGGGAACTTCACGGTTGTACTGGAACTGTACCATAGCAATAGGTATGCAATTGATTTTGAATTTTGAAAATGCTCCGTAGAAGATAGACCACGCCATATCATCAATCAATCAGCTACTAAAATGACTGCAATTTAGAGTTTTGCATGCTGAAATTCATTGCACACACGCACACACACACCCACACACTCTATGGATTTACTTGTTCTTAGAATCAGGGCTCAGAAAATGCCATTAAAACAAAATAATCCTAATTACAGTAATAAGTTCCAGTTTTTTTGTTGTTTCCTGGGATTCACTGGTTGCATTGAAAAAGACCACGGCAACACTAGTCGTTTCGACTGCTCATAATTTCAGCCTTTACTCTTCAATTAAATCATATATGATCTGGATTTTATGTTTACGCATGGCAAATACTCTCTGAACGTTAATGATCGAGTCGAAGTCTCTTGACAATGGCTTAGTGTTAAAGTTTTTTTAATGGCATCGAATTCTACAAGCAGCCTATCAAAACTTAACCACCCATGAAAATTCTCTTAGTAAGGTATTTGTTAACATTTATTCTCATTTTTCAAAGCAATGAAAACTATTCTTTTGTTACCTCTGTCATGTACCTAAATATTCAGGCTGTAATTCTGTGTTACACGTTTGTGTGTGTGTGTGTGTGTTTTATAGATATCTCACAGCGTACACTCAAGAAGACTTCCCTCTTCAATTAAAGCTCCGACAAAATGTGAATTTGGAAGCGAAAGTTGAAAGCAAAGACAAACGACTTTCAGTGTTGCCCGACACGTGCTACGCTACACCAACATCCAGCCAAAATGACGCAAAGAGAGTTTTAATATTGAAAAATGGGTAAGGATCCTTATAATTCGTATGAAGTGTGCAAGAAGAATAACTGTTTTTGGATTTGCATTGACATGTTCGGTAAAGAAAATTCGACAGGCTAAAGTCGTCCATAATTAATCTTTAAAAAAAAAAAAATGAGGCGAATAGATAGCTACTGTAGCTTTCGTCCTAGCTATTTTGAAAAAAGAAAAGCCCAAAAAGTGTGTTAGTGAATGTACTAAGTATAGTCTTGCTAAAAGTCGACCTCTCTTATTCTTGAAGACGAGCGAAGCGTGCTTCAATGAGGAGCGAGCGATGAAGTAGCGAGGTGATTGTTTCGACTGAATGAATTTGAATCGCATAAATTCTCGCGGGAAGAATAGGGAGCTTAAGCAACAGCGTTTTTGAGTGGCGGACGTCAACAGGAAGTGGACTTTTTGCATCATTGAGCAGTGGTTTGGTTCAAACTCTCGAGTAAATCGTCTTTAAAAGAGAAAAGAAACTTAGCCACACAAATTTAGTTGCTTCCGGTTGACGTGCGTCGCCCAAAAAACATCTCTGCTTAAGCTCCCTAATGATTGACATGTTCTGTGTCTGGACTCTGGAGTGGCGTCAAATATTGTTCACTCTCCTATTGGTTAATTGTCATGACGTCACTGTGGAATTTTTAAAACTTTTAAGAAAGTCTAACTAAAGCACCAACTATGTTCTCTTTTTCAGCTGCCCTGTGGATGACACCTTGAAATTCTACCGTTCCCCCACAGGAACGTATCGTTTTGGTTTAGAAGCCTTCGAGTTTGTTGATCAGCCTTTTGTCTTCATTCACTGTCACGTGATCATCTGTAATGCATCCAATCCCCAGTCAAGATGTGTCCGTGGATGTGAAAAGAAAGCGCGGCTTCGACGCGAAGTCGAACATTACAATCTGTTCTCTTTGGCTCAGGGACCAATCACCCTGGATCATGACATCGAACTGGATCAGAAACACGTGGAGAAATTCTCAGCCAATTATATGGACTCTGTTGGTAAGAGAGAAGTACAGCTTGAGAATTTGAACATTCTGAAAAAAGGAGTACATTTACTTGACGTTTAGGACTCTTGAGATACCTCATTAATTAGCATTGGGTAATTTTCAGACGTTGTGGCAATTGGCCGTTTGCACGATGGCGCCATTTTACTACTACGACCAGAATACTTTTCCTTTTTTCTTTCATATTTAAATTTGGAAATCCCAGTGAGATTTAAATAACAAAAGCCCTAATTTGCACAAGAAAGCAAAACCCTGAAGGATTCTGGTCTTAGCAGTAAAATGACGTCATCGTACAAATGGCCTATTTAAAGCCTTTCTAACTTTCATGACTTCAAGCAAGACAGTGAGGTACTATGACGGCCTATAAGGAGAGGCTTGCCCGACAGGGTACCTTTTTCAGGCTTCACGTGTACAGCTATTTTCGAGCAAGGTTGTCGGAAAAAAATTTGCACGCAACAATTCCGAAAAGTAATATGGGATATGATCAATTTACTGTTCCTAAGTAGCTGTCGAACCTACTTTTGTTGCTTTCCTTTAGCACTCGCAAACATATGTCCGTGGCCTCCCGTGCCATTCTTTCAAATTTCTTTGAAGAACAGTACACTTAAAACCATCCACAATACCTTTCGGGGTTGTCGCGTGCACTTTTTCCAACACCTTTTTCGAAATGGCTATATAAAAGGATAGGGCAAACTGATAGCGTGTTACTTTCTGTTAAGTTTGCCTTTTAAAATTGTGAGGATTTCGTGAGCTGAAGCACGTGAAAAGGTAGGAAAATTTGTTATTTGGGTGTTTTACGGGGCCTTTGACTTATTTCGAACCGACCCACCGTTAGGCTGTATCATTTTAATTTTTTATTGTTAAACGGTACTTAAAATGACAAGAAGACTTGCTAGAACTGTTAGCATGTAAAAACGGACACCATTTTTTGATGTTAACTGTACGAAATGTGTATCATTTCATTTTGTACCTCTGGAGCGGACCCTAACCTTCCCCCACCCCATCCCTGGAAGTAACGCCATTGGTAATCTGCTTTGAATAGCTGGAACTGAAGAATACATCTAAAACATTATCAAATATACATTATTTACACATTTTACAGCCGCCTAAAGTCAGAATCCTCTTCCATTATAATTTTCTGATTCATCTCTTCTCTGTTTTGCTGACAGGGATGGACTCCTCTCTACTTGCAGCAATGGCCGTCATCACGGTAGTGACCATATTTGGTGCGGCGATCGTGATTGTGAAAAAAAGATCTACTCATGCTGGTTATTTTGGAATAAAGGAATGAAATTTTTGTAGAACGAAAAAATTAAATAATAAATATGGCCCTGAAAAATGTCTGTAAATCGCGTTTTGTAAACCTTTGTTTTTTGGCCTTTCAGGTTTTGTAGTCCAAGATCATGTGCGTGCTGTTACTCCAAAGAACGTTTTCTTTCAAATCCTGTCCTAACTGCGTATTTAATTTAAAGACAAAAGACAGATTCCCGTTAGAACATCACGTGGTCTAAGTTTTGAAGCGTAGTCCAGCCGTTTTCTTGTCCCTGTCTGGCTATAAGGAATAAAAACTTAACACAATGCCATTTACAGATGCAAAATAATAGCTTCCGAAGCTCTGGCTTGCGCAGAATGCTTTCTTTAGGACTTTTGGTCTTTCCCTTCGTTTTTGCTTTCAAAACCTTCATTTCTCCATGATCATGTTACCACCCAACATAAGGATTTTTTCAGTTTTTTAGCAGTTTCTACAACCGATAAGCCAGTAAATCGAAGTATACATGCTTATGCTCTCACCTAGCTGAACTTTTTTGCGTTAAAGCGGTTTATCTTTCGCTATGTTCACAAAATACAAGGAAGGAGTTCGAGCAGTTCGGGCTATGAAATACAAAAAATATGTGGCTGGAAAATATACTCGCGCACGGGCACCTTTGGTGCGGGAGTACACAAATCGAATATTCGAGTCAAAAGATGGCACAACAAGTATGAAAATAGTGAATTAGATTGAAAGACACAACTTTTGTTTCAATGATTTGCTTAACAAGTTCAATCGTACTGAAATACGGACTTGTAAAGTAGAGGAACGAACTTTTGGGACACCCTGTATACAGCTATTTCGAGAAAGGTTAAAGGAATCGAAAAAGTGCACGCGACAATCCCGACAGGTATTGCGGGTGGTTTTGAGTTCACTGTGCAGTTCAAATAAATTTGAAAGAAGGGCACGAGAGGCTACAGTGTCAAGAACAGTGTATTGATCGTATCCCATGTTACCTTTCGGGATTGTCGCGTGCACATTTTTTCCGACAACCTTTCTCGAAATAGCTGTATATACAGATAGATCACAAGAACGACTAGAGAAAAAGAGTAGAAAATGTTAAATAAATAAACAAATAAATAAAAATAAATTCAATTTAATTAAGTTTACAATCATGTACATTGCAAATATAAGAAGCCGAGTTTTCAGGAAATTTTTGTTATTAAGTCGGGTAAATCAATATAGTCATTTTGTTCTGAACGTATTCGGAGTAAAGTGTCGTGCACATTGATTTTAAAGTTACTTTTGGACATTTGACGCATTTCACACGGTAAACTATTCCAGATTTTTACACCATATCTTGAAAAAAACTTAGTTTGCATGTCTAACCTTGACTGTTTAACATATATTAGATTGGGAAGCAAATAAGTTAGATATGTTAGTAGGTGTTAAGCTGTTAGATATATCATGCATTAGAATAGCAACGGATTTAAAGTACAGTAGATCTAAGGGAAGAAAGCTAGAGGAGACAAAATAAGGTACTGCATGAGAATTGTAGTCACCAAAGAGTATGAGGCGGAGGGCGCGTTTTTGAAGAATAAATATTTTGTTTTTGGAAGTTTTACAGCTTGGCCCCAAGCTATACCATACAATAATTAGGACTGAATAAGAGATATGTATATGTGGTGTAAAGTATTCAGGGGTACAAAGTGTCTAACGCTGGCGATGATGCCAATCAGTGTTTTACTTATTTTTGAAGCCATGTGGGCGATATGGTATTTCCAAGAAAGATTTTCATCAATAAGCACACCTAGATATTTGACAAAATTTTTGCATTCTAAAGAAATGTACTAGTTGTTATGATGGTCAAATACTTTCAAATTGACTTGGTGATTTAACTTTTTATGTCTTAGTCTAAAAATGACAAAGTTAGATTTCTTTATATTAAGTATTTAGTGATAATTTATTTGCGATTAGCCAGTTATAAACCCTAAAAATTTCTGCATTAACTGTGGATTCAAGCGATTTGAGATTTTTGTCAGCATATAACACATTAGTATCATCAGCAAATAAATAAGTAGAACTTCAATTTATCAGAGCTGTTAGATATATCATTAATATAAATAAGGAATAGCAAGGGTCCTAGGATAGATCCCTGTGGGACACCTGATAACACTACTTCCTTTTTGGATATGTTTTTAGGACGCAACCAGTCATTGATTATTCCACGTACTCCATAATGATTTAATTTTCTTAATAATATTGAATGATTAACTGTGTCAAAGGCTTTTTGTAGGTCAGTGAACACACCACATGAGTACAACTTTTTATCCATGTTAGTTTCAATTTCATTAATTATGTCTAAAATAGCATGCTCAGTAGACCTTTTCTCACGAAAACCATATTGTGAATCATAGAGAATATTGCACTTCTCAATAAATGACTCGAAGCGATTATACATCATCTTTTCAAAGATACGGTTAAAAATGGAGAGAAGCGATACGGGTGTATAATTGGAGGGGTCAGATTCATCGCCACTTTTGTAAACTGGAATTACTTTGGCAAGCTTTAATTTAGATGGATAGGTTCCATATTCAATTGATTTATTGATGAGCATAGATAGAGGTTGGCTTATAATATGTTTAGCCGATCTTAAAATGCGAGTGGGAAATTAATACAGGCCGTGTGCCTTGTTTAATTGAATAGTCATTATTTCAGAATCAATTTCAGAAGGAGATACAGGGTTAAAAAAGAATGAACTAGCAAAGTCTAACTTTGGTAGATAATCAGTAAATTGCTTTGGTGAATTTGGCATTTTGGAAGCCAGGTTATGCCCTATTGAAATAAAAGTTTTTTATTAATTATGTCAGGAAACTCAGCGGGATTTTGTGACACTAGATTGCTACTCGGGCATTCGAGAGAGATTATATGTTTGTGAGCTTTGTTATTGCGGCCTAAAAGGCTGTTGATGCCCTCCCACATTTTTTTGGTATTCGTAAAGTTTTCTTGAAAGTATTTGTGAAAATACATCTTTTTAATAATTCGCGTGAGCATCATGCAGCACTTTGTTCCGTTAGAGTTTGTAGGTGGTGGTGTCGCCCGAACAATAGAGATCATTTTTCATTTAATCGATTTTCTGATCCCCTTTGTTACCCAGGGTTTTAATAATCTCTTTTTCTTACGTTTTGATATTGGCTTAAAAGGTGCGTGCTTATTGAGAAGTTTGTTCAGTATATTGTAAAACACAGAAAAAGATTTGTTTACGTCATTCAGTCCTGAGACTGCGCCAGTTAGGTCAAGTTTGGACAGTTCGTTTAAGAATTTTGCAAGAATAACAAGGGAGCTCTCGTAGGAGAGTTTTGTTTACCTTAGTTTGATTCACAGCTTATCGTGGTCCTTAAATATAATCTCTTAACTTGTTAATCCGTGGCTGACAGCAAAATTGTCTAAGTCTCTTGCCCACTTGATTGCGATCGGTCGAGAGTGCTCGTTTTCCCTCAGCCATGCTGTGGAACTTTTAGCCCAACAAAAAGTCAAGTTTAGCCTTTCCTTTATCTTCTTGGCGTTTGACAGCAATGATTGTAGACGTGGAGAAAGGTGGTCGTAGAGGCCTACGTTCTCCATGGAGTCGCTTTCTTTAAGGCCAATGCTTGCAGGGCAAACTACCGTGGTATTTCTCTTCTTGATGTTCTATCTAAAATTTTGGAAAGACAAGTTTATAATGAGATCTTTATTATTATTTGCGCCCATCTTACCAACTGGCAGCATGGTTTCCTACCAGGAAAATCCACTGTGTCTAAACTTTCTCAAGTTGTTCATCAATTCGCTAACCCTCTTGAGAGGAGACAACAAGTTGATGTTATTTATTTAGATTTTTCAAAGGCTTTTGATCGTGTGTCTCACGAAAAACTCCTACCCAAGCTTGAATGCCTTGGTATTGGTGGATCCTTGTTAGCTTGGTTTAGATCATATTTATCGGGTAGAACACACAGAGTCGTGATAGATAACGAGTCGTCTGATTTCCTTCATGTAACATCTGGAGTCCCGCAAGGGTCAACTTTGGGGCCTTTACTGTTCTTGCTTTTTATCAATGATATGCCTAATGCAATTTCAAAGGAAACATCGTTACCCCTCTTTGCTGATGACTCAAACTGTTTTCGACTAATTCTTGGGCGGGATGACGGCGACAAATTGCGGGATGACTTGAACAAGTTATTTCAGTGGTCTTGTATCTTGGAATGGAGTTTAACGCCAAGAAGTGGAAGGTTTTAAGGGTGGCTTGTATAAGATCAATCGATGACAGGGACTATTACCTTAGTGGGACTAAGTTAGACCGTGTTGATGTTGAGTAGGACCTAGAGGTTTTGGTTAGCCACAATTTACAGGGGAGGATCCAGGATTTTACATGAGTGATTTGCACCAACTTAACTAGGAGAGTTTGGGGCCATGCTCCCCCAAGGAAATTTGAAATTTAGTGCTCTCAGAATTCCTGCATTCTGAGAGCACTTCAAGCCATTCAGACACATAAACAGCACCTCCTCAGAAAGGCATAATTCTGTACAAAAATTAATTTCTGTGTCTTAAACAGTAGTTACACAGCCAAACCAGAATAACATAAAAGTAAGCAATAGAGTTATACTGTTTTTGACCATTAAGGATTAGATTAAACTTGATGGAACATAACTCACAAGTACTCTAAAAACACTAGTAACTGTCTGCTACAAAATTATTCATTTTAAATATTTTGCATTCTCATTCTTCTAGGATGTAAATTAGCAAATAAATCTATAATTTTTTTCAAGGTCTAATTCCATTTCTCTATGGGCATGCATCTGTGCTAACCCATTCAGTCTATGCTGGACCATTGTATTTCTCAAATAAGTCTTCAGATTTCGGAGGGTTGAGATGGACCTTTCACAAGATGCTGATGAAATAGGAATGGTTATCAGGATTTGAAGTATGGTAGATATATTCACATAAGCATCCTTGTCAATTTGTTCTAGGGTGGCTTCTATACTGTTAGGGATGTCTTCTCTTCTATC